ACTTGATTGGAACAAGAGCCAAATATGGGGGCACATTAAAAAATGAAAAAGGGCGAAGGTGAGACAAACTAAATTTTCTTACAATCAACAGACAAATAAATAATCAACTGATTTTAATAATATAAACAACCAGACTACTTACTATCACAAAAACCAAACATAAATTTAAGTCAACAAATATTTAAAATTAACTAAAGTCTTTGTTTCTGACAATATAAACACCAAATCAAAATGAAATTTCTGCAAGTTAAAACTAAAAAAAAAAATGAATTTAAATAAAATAAAATGAAAAGAAACCAATAATCATAATATTGTGCAGTATTTACTTTTACTTTGCGCTTCATTCATACAAATCCTTTCGAGTGGAAAAATATCTGAAATTTGATTTTGATTTCTGAAATTTTAACTAACTACAAGCATACATATATACACACTTATGTATACAAATGCCCAACACATTATATATTATATAAAAGCCTCACAGAACACGGCCAACTAATAAGCATAGCCAAAAGCTAGCGGAAGCAATATAAATAATACGCATAGCCCCAAGGGCTCCCCCAGAAACGGTACAACACAACATTCTAACAATCCAACCAACCAATCAATCAATCAATCAATCACAAACTCAAACTCAACTCGAATTCAGAACATTCGATCGATCAAACACACATACTACTTATATGCACACTAAAATCCTCAAAACAAGCCTCACTAAAAAATGAAAGAAAAAAAATTACAAATGCAAAAGCAAGAATCAACAAGAAATCTTTCACAAAAAAAATATATATGTTTTCAATTTTAATTTAGTTCTCAACAACTCATTTTGTATGCGTCTTTCGATTCATTTTGCTTTCTTTATTGAATTTTATTTGAAATCCTAAAGTGCCGCCCCGATATCACTCAGAGCGTCAGTTAAATTTAACTACGATGCCAATGAAGTGATGCTCTATGCATTTACTTTATTTTAAGGACTCGCCACATTAGTTTTATTTGATTCGATTCAATTTCTTGATTTATTGTATTTGGTTTGGATTGGCATTTTGTGAACCATTGAAACCTATTCAATAAACTGTATCGATCGTACTTAAACTGTTTTGAGTGTATAATGTGCGTACTCTTAACTACTAAATTATCTTGTTGTAAGTTTAATAAATTCTAACTGATCGCAAAATTATCAATCTACTCTTCTGCTACTTTCTTCTCTTTACACAAATCTTGCTCTTAATTCTTATTCATTTTGTTTTTAGTTTATCAGCGCTTATTTTGAGCGCAGGTGTTGCACGTTTTCAGTTCCATTTTAAGTTGACTCGTGACACATACTTATATATCTATTAGCATTGCAGCTACAAAAAAAAAAAAGGGCATGGGGTTTTGTGGGGCATACTTATGATTGGCAGAGTTTAAATTGAAGAACTGCCGTACAGTATTTTCTTTGGTTTAACATTTTGTATGCCATCAACTAGCCGTGTTGCATTATATTAGCCCTTGAAGAATCAGTGATTGGTGTTTAATATTGTGTTTCATATTCGTTATTGTCTATATAGTCCTTGATATCGCAGTCGTAATTCGTAAATATATATGTTTATTGTGCAAATCAATTTAAACGACTAAACATTCAATGATAATAATGCATATTTAAATATTTCATAAAAAAAATTTTGTGCGTAAATGTTAGACAAGCATTAAACAATGTACACACACATACTTTCATTGTCAAATGGTTTGATCCAAACATTTAATTTTTGAAGGCAATTAACCAGAACAACTTGTAAATAATGCAGCTGTCACTAAAGATAAATATTGAACAGTTCCTGTATTTTTGTGTAGTTTATTTCCCAGGTAAGGGACCTTAGACAGAAAATAATCTTTTGTTTAAGAATCCGATATAATTTATTTGCAATTGTCTAACCATGCATTTGTTTAGTAATCATCGGACATAAAAGAACAAAATATGTGTGTGTTACGTATTTTAATAAGAAATATAAAATAAAAATGTTCATATATATACAAACCATATAATACTTTTACTCTTTGTCTACCCGACTCTCTCTCTCTCTCTCTCTCTCTCTCTATCTCTCTCTCAGTTATAAGCTACTCCTTTTCAATGTTGTAGTTCTTGAGAAACTTGTATTTATGTCTTTTGCTATATAATCGATTTTACAAATAATAAAAACTATGTAATTGTTTATTTCGTATCTCTTTTGTTTTTATTATTGTTTTAGACAGTGTTCTATTTCTATGCTATTCTATTTTAAACTTCTAACTAAACAACAATTAAACATGGTACAATCAATTAATAAACGAATTGGCGCATATAACAAGATCGTACACGATTAAAGATAAACATCAATCACATAGTTATTGGCGTTGTATTACAAAGTATTGCAACTCTTACACCTCGGTAAATATGTAACTCTCAGCTCTATAATCGTGTCTAGTGATGTGGATGGATGCGATTTAGCATAGAACCAAGTGGAATTGGCTTCTTGACTTGATTGACGCCATTTGTCAAATAGTTCTCCCTTAAATTTGTCCTCTCTTAGCTGAATTGCTAGAGTTGATATACTTTATATCATATGTAATTGTGATCGCGCAGGTTGCCGTTGACTTAGTTTCGTCGTTTGATCAATATTTCTACAAATGAAAACTACTTGTATTCTTTAGCCGGCTCTAGGCTTAGGTGGCGGCAGTTTCTGGTACCGAGCAGTATTGAACACTTGCTGCCATCGAGACGACCGAAACTTACACAATCCGCAACCGATGCATACACCGATACCCTAAACCATTTCCGAATCCTTCCAATACATAAACATTACGCTCTCTTTTTGTTATATTTTCAAGCTTTCAACTAGTACCAACATACCTCTTTCGTATCCATCTTTATTTTCCGACGTTTCACCTAGCCACCGACATTTATATCACTCATGGCACGTTTCGGAGTCATCTGATAAATTAACATTATTTTGTCAATTTTTTGTATTTAATATTAAATTCATGTGCGGAACACATGAGCTGTATTAATTATCAATAAAGAAAAAAAATAGAAAAATAAAATGAAAATGCGTGGCCAGGCATAAAACATTTAACTTTTCACTGAACTTATTCATTTCTGTGATAAGATGGCATTCTTAAGACGAAAAATATATTTTTAAAACTCAGCACATTTTTTAAAGCAGTAAACCACAAAATTCATTACAATTTTGTTCAATTTTATAGATTGTTCAACACCAAACTCTTTAATACTGTAGCTGTCCAAAAACTTAGCGACACATTTACTCAATTAAGACATTAAAACAATGTTTGAGCACACGTCAAGGAAACATATCAAAAACAACGAAAAATACATGAGAATGAATTTATTTATTTTAATTTTATATAATTTATTTTTTCTGTGCTTGGCACCTGATAAAAAGTAATTCGTTAATATCCGTGGGCTTTGAAAACATGTTCTTGCATCTTGCAAAAGCTAAGCCTCACACTCTGTGTGGTTGCCGAGTTTTTGTGCTATAATAAATCGAAAATAATGATTCATTGTAGGCTCAATCTTCAAGTGCGTTTATGTACTTTAAATATGGATTTTTTCGTTCCAAATTGGATATACAATTATTATTTAAAATGGTTTATAGAGGATCCAGCTGTGCCATCCTTCTTGCTTATTGAATGAATTCACCTGGGTCAATATGTACAAATATAATACTACAACACTACAAATCATACATCCACATATCTCTCTGCAAGCTTGTAGTATGGTGTGGTACAGCTATCAGAAGAACTCACAAGTACACAATAACACATAGAAGTACGCATGTTTCAACTGATGCACCTGTTAAGAAAATACAAAAGGAATGAGTATGCCTGCCTATTTGCCTGGTTGCCTGGTTGCCTGATTGCATGCCGGTAATATTAGAGTACCACCAGATTATAGAATATATAAATACTTATTTACACGACAAACACTGTAGAATTTGATTGGAATGAGTGTTTAGAATACAATTAAATACTTTGTACATAAATACGTAGCAATTTAATATTTAAAATATTGAGAATCATTAATGCTTAATACGATGCATGTAAGTTGAATTAATTTCAACGGTGTGCGTAGCTAACCTTCAGTGGAACCCCTCTTATTTAATATTATTGGTTGATTTGTAAAATACAAATGCAAAGCTATGACCCGGTCAAATTAAACCTACTTTGCACATGTATGTATGAACGCCTTTTTGTTTAGTTTGTTGTTTTTTTTATTTATTTACAATTTGTTACCTTTACCTTATGTTCAAAGAGAATCTTGGGGTAGCAGACTAAATTCATGCATATTGCAGTGATTCTTCATTTATTTTTTGTGTCAATTACTATAATTTTCGTATTTTGATTTTATGAAAATACAATGTAATTTATAAATTTAATACTGTTTACTGTTTTAACTACAAAATAACACTGACAAGTTATAATAGTAATCATAATGAAAACAAATCAGTTGATAACCAGAACAAATTATGTGAAAATATTACCAATATAAATAAATAAATAATATGTACACATACATGAAACACAAGTATATAAACATACATCGTACATACATTCATCAATGAAACATCTGACACAAGCAATAAGCGCTTCAGCTATTTACAATTTTTATATCATTAACCTAACTGATCAACTGAAAACAATATTGATTTTTCAATGAAAATTTAATCAATTTTGTTTGCCCATGATTGCAGCGCTACTGCACACACATACTTACACACGCACGCGCACCCACACACACACACACACACACACACACCCTCTCTCAGACAGACACATCGAAATGCATATACACCTGAACATAAAATTCTGCACACGAATAAAGCAATAATTCATGAGACATGTAAACAGCTTACTGCATCCCACTCTTAATAATAAGCCTTATTCTTGCATTGGATCGATCGACAATTAAAACCAATTTACTAATGTACTTTTCTCTTTGCTACACACTCACCCAAACTTGTTCTTAGACATATTGTGGTATGCGGTCATATAACATACGAGTCCGTGTCGCATTTCCTGAAGGACTTTCTGCACGAAGATCGTGAGGATGTCGATGTCGAAGTAGTCTTTTTACATCGGTAAGTTCCCTTTTCGTATTTGGTGTTAAAAATCGATTCACACTAAATATTTATGTTGCCAATTTGTACTATTGATTTCTTAAAGTATTGTTTCGTAAATATTTTGTATTATATGATATAATTTAGATGATATCAACGAATACAAATCAATTTAATTCAGTATATAAGCAGAAATGTATTGACCTCGCAGCAAGCAATTAATATTTGATTTAATGTGCTGATTGCTTGCTGCTATTTTATATAGAAGGTCTCAATCAGTTAAGTCTATAAATTAATTAGTCAAAGCACTTACTTTAAGCATTTGCATTATTCGCATTAGTTAGTAGTTATCACCAAATCAAAATTATATTTTTCGTTTTGTAATATACCTAACTTGATTTACATAATTATTAATATAAAACTCAATCATATAATGTAACGTAATGTAAAAAATAGCAAAGAGCCCGACCTGGAGCTAGAGGGACTGCTGAAGCGCCACTATACAACAGTGGCGTTTTTTCAGGGCACTATGATGAACGCAGTCGATCTGGAACGAGTCAAGGTACACAAATACACTTCAAGGAGTAAAGCTAAATTTACTTAGAGAGACACACACCAACACCGATACATACGTACACAACATACAATAGCATACATACATACACCTATACAAAGACACTCAAATACTGGTTAGTCAAGCATTGGAGCTAAGCAGACCAAACCAACGTGCCCTACCGTTCGGTACTCTACTCAAAATCGCGTCACATTGTGAGTGTGCTGTGCACATGTACATACCCTTGTTTGTACATAGGTAATAGCTCGTGTCCTTAGCAATAGTAAGACCACATATAATACATAGTTAGTAGCAATCGGCTGACAACAAATAGCCAAATGCAAATAGCCTTTCACCTCAACTCCTATAGCCATAGCCTCTCATAATTCGATGCTCGAGCTCTTGCTCACAGCTCACAGCCACACCCAATTCCCAAAATTTGCTCGATCTCACTTTTAATTATTTACAAATACATTTGTCTTTAGCCTTTTTTTTTAAGATTTGTTTATATTTTATTATTGACACTAAAGTTCACCTCTCGTGTCAGATAGTTGCAACCCAGTTCCAAAGGAAACAACAAGGATGCAAATATCTTGTCTGCAAGGCAGCTGCCACTTGCGGGTGCAGTTAAATTGATTTAACAGCTTATGCAAATATAGCATACATTCCATTATTTGTTTAATTTCTAAATTCTTAATAAAATTTAATTAGGATTAAATTTTAATAGTTTTATGTACAACACTTAATTTCACTCTTTTCGATACCTATAGTATATACTTATATAGCAATATTATTAATTTGTTCACGTTGGCTTTAAGTAATACTAATTTAACCTGCTCAATGGAATGTCCTCTTAGCTGAAATTTTATTCAAGTTTGACTTTTGTATTCTATTATTTATTGACTAAAAACTTAGATAAATTTATATATATATATATAATATAAATATGCATAGCATAGGATTTTATCTTCATATAAATATATATCTATTTTTTGATTCACAGCACCTTATGCTTTATGAAAAAAACTTTTCAAATTATCGATTTATTTTGTAATATATATATTTCTGAATATATCTCGTATTTAAATTATCGTTTAAATACCAGGTTCATTATTTGCGCTGCACATTAATACGTCTTTAAACTAGATTTAAGATTTCATATCTATATATATGTAATATCTATCAATTAAAATGGGTGTATTACATATATGTAAATATGTACAAAAGCTTAGGTATACTTTTAGCTATAAACAAAACTACTATTATATATAAGATGAGCTTATGGATCAGATAATTTAAGACAGCTCGACCACCTAAACAGGGGTTACAAACATTTACTGGATATTTTGTAAATAACTAAATGTTTTATTTGAAATATTTTAATTTACTTTTAAATGTCAATTTATTAAGAATATTTTGTCGAAAAAATTCATACATTTCCTATCGCAAATTTAGTTTTGACCAATTCATTTTTATCTATTTCTTTTTTCATTTGCATACTCCAACTGCACAACTATTCAAATATGTGTATTAATTGTGTAATCACACAAAATACTTAAATCTTATGGTCTCAATACAACTCAATCATCCTAAACTATGTTAATTGGAACATAAAAATAACACAATACTACTCTAAAAAATTTGTATTATATATTTTTCAAAAAAAAAAAAAAAAAAAACAAAAACAATCGAAAATACAAAAATTATGTACGTCCAAAAACCTCATAACTAAAAAATTAAAAGTAAACCACCCGATTTGGAACTTGAGGGTTTGTTCAAACGTCATTTTACCACCGTGGAGTTCTTCCAAGGAACCATTATGAATCCGATCGATCTGCAAAGGGTTAAGGTAAAATAACTTTTCATTTTATATGTTTCTCTATGTTGGTTGATTTCATTCTTCATTTTGTGTATTTTGTTGTCGTTTTATTTTGTGAGTGTTTGCCCTACTTTAACCAAACCAAACTAAACCAGACAACTGCTTATTAACATACGTACATACCTAACATAACGAACTCTCTACTTATATATATGTGTACTTATATATATTTGAATATCACTATATATATATATGTATATATATATATATATATGTGTGTGCGTGTGTATGTTACAATTACAACGTACTTAATTAATGTATTTATGTAATGTTTATATATGTAAATCATAGATATTATTCATTATTCATTGTCGCATACTGATTTGCTGGTTTTAGTTTTGTGTACATCATAGGAACACAATTCATTTGTATCTACATATGTATCAGTTGCTGAGTTCCAATGAATTAGAAGCTGCAGCATTAGAGAACCGACTTATGTGTAAATTTAAAAACTATTAAATTCCAATATTTTCCCATACACTCACAATAACTCTCACAGCTCAACATTTAAACACAGATACACTGTAAATTGTTGACGTTATTGTGTATGCAAAAACTTATCGTGATTCATTGTTAGCTTAAGCGTCATAATTTTTAGCAGTTTTAATATGTTAATTTTAAATCTACTTATATATATGTATGTGCTAAGTATATGATTGCATATCAAATAATACAATTATACAATTATTAGGTATTTTAAATTTTAATAACCATTATAATTGATTATTTCCTGGAAATGGTAGATTATAACATGTAGGGTGTATCTGTTCGGATGTTAATCAAATTTCAGAACACTTGTACAGTTACCAACCTATTTACTAAATTGCTAAATTAACTCAATTCGAAACGAATCTTTGTGCTGACTGACTGATTGATGATTGAAGATGCACAGTTGAAGATGTTAGAGCTATGAAACTATGATGGTGGGACACTTAAATTTATCCGATCGGTCTTAAATTAATTTTTAAAGATCTTTGTATAAATTCATCCAAAAGTATTTCACACTTTTCGAGAAATCGAAACCAAATTTTGATTTGATTTCGACACACGCTCTAGAATTTTTAAAACTTAGATGGATCGGTTTGTCCTGACTGACTGATTGACAGAACTGTGATCAACGTACAGTCCAAACCGTATGAGTTGCAAAGCTGAAATTTTTACTGGAGCCTCCCTTTAGCTCGAAAGTGAGAACTAAGACGGAGGCCTGGCAAATACGACTTGGTTATCAAAATAGTAATAATTGATAAGGAACAAATCTATACTAAAATCAACGAGGAATATTAAAATGCTGGGGTTAAAAATAGTAATCAAAAATGTATTTTTGTTTTAATTGTTCCAATTGGCAGGGCCGGATTAGACAATTGTATAGCGTAGTATAGCATGTGGCCTTTCGGACTTGCGAACGCGTTTAATTAAGGCGAGACAATTTAACAATATGACGAAAACAAGAATTAAATGAGCAACGGGAGCAGTAATTAGTTTCATACAAGAGGGACAAGCGGGATATTGAATGCGCTAGGATGCCCGATGTTAAGAACTAGAGTTAGATCTCCCGGTACCATACGTATTTTCAACATTGCTCAATTGACCAAGCGACGTCGGTAAAAGCAAGAATGCACGTTAACAAAGTCGGATCGGGATTTGATAGTATAGAAATGATTTTTGTTTTAATATTTTTTGATTGTTAGCTCACATTGGACTTAATCTATGTAAAACATTGTGTCACAAATTATTTAATTAATGTTAATTTAAAACGAGAAAGAAAGAGCATTTTGATAATACTCATAATGCGTTGCGCGTATCCAAGAAGCACTGGGATAAATATAATATAACATTCCAATGTAGATAAGATTTTGAATCTTTGTATATATCACTATATCCTGAAAAACATAACAAGTTTTCCATACAATAACTCGATCGATCCTATGGCAACTAATTGATATAGTGGTCCGATGTTGACAGGATTTTGCTTAAATATGAGGGGCAAAGGTATAGAGAAACTAATAAATGACGAGTTTGGTCGAAATATGTTCATAAACAAAAAAATATTTTCATGCAACAACTTAATTTCTCGAGCGATTGTTCCTATGGAAGCCAAATGTTATAGTGTCTTGGTGCTGATAATATATGAGGAGCATAGTAACAAATGCCTAGTTTGGCAAATATATCTTGATAAACAAAAAAGTTGTTCATACAAGAACCTCATTTTGGACCGATCTTTCCTATGGCAGCTATATGATATAGTGGTCCGATCCAGCTGGTTCCGACATATGTGCTGCTTGCAACAGAAAGAAACTGAGAGACTAGTTCGGATAGAAACAGACAGACGGACATGGCTATATCGTCTCGGCTGTTGGTACCGATCAAGAATATTAAGAATATATGATGGGGGACAAAATTATAATACCTTCTGCAGGGGTATAATGATAACAATATTTCTTCAAGATTAAATCAGCCCGGAACATAAAGTAAAGGAACCAACAACAAACTTGAGTAGTTAACAATAAAATAAGCGAAATATAAATAAAAAACATTAATATTAAAGGAGAAAAATATGATTAAATTTGTTGAAGTAATATATGATTTTTTACGTTAATAATTTTTTGGTTTCAATGTTGACGCCAATGTTAGAGTATAATTTTATTTCGTTAACATAAATACCTTTTAGTGTATGTTATATACAGGATATTAGCGCATTCAGTATTCGTCGTATTTATATATAACAAATATACCTCTACTTGGATACATTCAATCGATATCGGGCTTAGCTGCATTTGAGTTTTCGATATAATTAAAATTGCTCATGAGAAATGCTTTCTCTTCTCTCTAAGTATAAGTCAATAGCAAATTTTAAAGTCCCTATTTTCTGTTCTTTTGTTATTGTCGTATGGCAATTGCTTGCGCTCATTTTGTAGACTATCGATGCTCTAATAACTATTGTTTTATATAGTACATTGCATGCTGCATGACCTGCCTAACATATGTAATATATTATGTAATGCCATTTGAGTTTGACTCTTTGTTTTGTATATTGCTTTAATATTTAGTTTTGATTCTGAACACCCTGAACGACACGAGTTCTCTGTATACCTCTACCTCCACCCATGCACCGAGCGTTCGCTTTCTGAGTTGTGATTATTGTTGTTGTCTGTCACCTTTGAACTGGAAGTTGAACTTAATCGCAAAAACAAATCTAGCCACGAATTTAACTCCAACAAATTTTGTAACCGCTTACTGTGTCCCTGTCGCCGGTGTTGCCAAAGCTAATCAAAGTCAAGTACTTAATGTGAATGCAAGAAAATAGGCATCGTGAAATAATGCCCAATATTTTATACAAAAATATATATATATATATATATATATAACTAAAACCCACACACTTCACTTGTGACATTTCAACTACTTGTACTATACTTAGTTGTGCAGGCAATGTACATGTAAACTGCTTACTAACTTTACCTGTTTAAATACGACAAGTCAACAATCACTCAATAACAACACCCAACCATACCTAAAAAACATAATGTACTTACTTACAATACAATTATAAGTCACAGCCACTTTGAACTTAGGTCAACATAACAAAACTTACTACAAACGTCTATAGCTACAGCCGAGCTTGGCTTTTACAAAGACATAGACAAATGACCAATATTTATTAAGCCTTTATGTAATCCATTGCTAATTAATCAATACTCTACAAAAGGTGCATGAAGCCGATGCCTGCCTGGTGCTAGCTAACAAATATTGCCAAGATCCCGACGCAGAAGATGCTGCCAACATAATGAGAGTTATCTCTATTAAGAACTACAGCGATGATATTCGTGTCATCATCCAGCTAATGCAGTACCATAATAAGGTAAAAGCACACTCGGTCCGTAAAAACTTGCAGAAAATGAAATAAAAACCCGATATCCCCAGGCGTACTTGCTGAACATACCTTCGTGGGACTGGAAGCAGGGCGATGATGTCATTTGCTTGGCCGAGCTGAAGTTGGGTTTTATAGCGCAGAGCTGTTTGGCACCTGGCTTTTCGACAATGATGGCAAATTTGTTTGCCATGCGTTCCTTTAAAACGGTAAGTATTGCCAAAGTGCCTAACACGACGGCTACTCCTAACAATATACCAGACACAAGCACACAACTGGGGTGTATTGAAATCCAGAAAGCAGGACAAAGATATTAGCTTTTTGATGACAATTGCTATATGAAGAGAAGAGAAGGGGCTGCCACAAGTCAGTCAACCAAATAAACCATCAATCTATATTATGTATGTACGTCTTTAACCCCATAGTCGCCAGAAATGCAATCTTGGACAAATGATTACCTGCGCGGCACTGGCATGGAAATGTACACAGAAACATTGAGTCCCACATTTATTGGAATACCATTTGCTCAGGCCACTGAGTAAGTTGCGCAGCGGGCAGTCCAATTTCTAAATGCTATAAACATATTCGTATCGTATCGTATCTATTATACTACCTACTATTGAACTATGTACTTGTTAATCGTGCAGCGTTGACAAATATAGTACCAACAACAAATACAAAAACAATACAAAAAAAAAACAATACAATATATAACACTCGCATAAACATATCCACAGAAACACACACACACACTCACTCTGCTTTTATTATCTCCTGATAATTTCTAATTGATGTTGTAAAATTTTTACTTTGTCTGTTATGATTTTGGGAGAGTTTTAAGATTCTGGTCTTCAGACACGTTTATATTGATGTCAACGTCTGGAGATGCCTAAACTTGTAAAATTGCCTGCCTATGGTGTTAAATTTTGATTTGTATTTGAAGAGACATTAAACACAGACATACACATCTACACGTGGAAGTACACTGTGAAAAATTAGTCGGTGTTTTATGCTAATTCTTTGTGTACTTAATGTTTTCAATGTTAAAAAGCCTTCAGTGTTTGCAAATACAAATGACATCCTTGCTGAATATTCTTTTCTTTTTAACTAAGTTTGCAGTCAGACCTCTATGATAAAAATGAAAAAATAAATAAAATAAAAACCCCACACCCATATAAAATACACACGCTAACACACACACACACACACACACACACACACACACACACACATAATTACACTACGATATCGAGAGCATTGTTAAACGCTAATTGTATGGTATCTTTGTGTGCTGTGCTCTCTAGATTCAGAGCATAACTATGCAGCGTGTATTTAAGTTGATGTTCAATATTTATTTATTGTTTTGACTTCTGTTTGAATTATGCTCATTTGATATAACTACATTATGGTTTTGGTTGAAACTCTATAAGCCACACGTTGTTCGTAATTCTCCAAAAAGGTGGCTGGTACTTAATGCTGTTAGTTAAGTTAGGGAAGTGTAAAAATATGTCGCAAGCTAAACAGTTGAGCCTTTGAGAAGTATGCCAAAGCTAAAGCTAATACCAGATCAAAGCCAGACAAACAAATGCTAACCCGAAAACAAACACACCCCCACACATGCACAACACACTGCTCGGATGATCAGATGTTATAAGTGTGCCCGTATGTACATATGAAAACAGAGAAGCCCGCATTTGAGTCCGTGAATAACGCACAAGCCGTAGCCAAACTGTATGCCCAATCGAGCCCTGAGCCTGATCGATAGAAATGCGCATATGAGCCAAGTTATTCCCAACTTCTACTCAACCAACAAGAACTACAACAACAACAAGAACAATAATAACAAGAACATGTACAAGAAACAAACAACCGTCGCGTAGTTACATTAGCGAACTTACTAAATCCAAACCACAACAAAACCATTTTCTAACTTTCAGTCACCAGACACACAGGCCTGGCAAAATGATTATCTTCAAGGTACAGGGTGTGAGATGTACACCGAAACTCTATCACCTTCATTTACCGGCATGACATTCCCACAAGCCAGCGAGTAAGACTCCAAAATGAGAATTTAGAAAAACAAAATTTACAAAAATAAAATAAATACAAAAATCTAAAAATGTTATTAAAGAAACAACTGTATAAAAAATACTTTTGCCTTGTACAATATGTTCAATTCAATATTTTATTTATATCATTTGTCAAATTGAATTCTGTTCCGTTTGATTTATTCCTTCCACTATATACTAACTAGTAACAAACTACCTTTTGTCCCTATTTCTAAATACTTACTACTACTACCTACTTGTACTTCTAATTTACTTACTTAGTTTTATATACCAGTATGAAAAGATCTTTACAAGAGAAGAGAACTATAGCAGCAAACATTGATCTTCTTGTATATTTAACATTATTACGTATAATTTGATTTTTGGATTAACAATCGCATTGCATCCGTTCGCATAAAATAGTAACCAGCCACAAAGTACAAACAAAGTTTAGAACATATTTATCTAGACACCGCTCGCTTGTTACCAATTCCGCTCCGCTCAACTCCGCTCCGATTAGTCCCAGTTCAAGCCCGATAACTGATTACATAACAGCAAATCGCAATTACAATATACATACATACATACATACATATGGGTACATATCCACAAATATCAGAAACTATGCGTTAACCACAAAAGATAAAATTACAGCATCTGATGAATTATAACCAATTCAATCCTCCTTTTGCATGTGCAGAGTGAATTTTATTTGTGTGCCACCTTTGACCCGCCTTCACCCCTCACGCTAAATAACAGCCACAATCTCAGCAACCAAGTGGACTTCATTGATTTAATAAATGTAACAATTCAGCTCATTTTTATAGAAAAATAATTCTTAGTTACATTTTTATAAGTATTTTGTCTAGCATGTGGTTTTGTATGTATGAATATGAAGTGCAAATATTTGTACAGTGTACGCTTTCAACGCACCTACACGAAACGCATGTCCTGTTTGATACGATTTTTCTACACTTTATAGTGTAGTAATATTTAATACGCTTAATAAAGTATATGTAAGAGGTAGATACTTCCTGTACATGACTCGAGTAACACAAATTTTCCATTTATTCCGCTGCCTATAGATTGTGCTTCTCCAAGCTGAAGCTCCTGCTGCTTGCCATTGAAATCAAAGGCGCTGAAGAGGGTGCCGACAGCAAAATTTCCATAAATCCGCGTGGTGCCAAAATACAGGCAAATACGCAGGGTTTCTTCATAGCACAAAGTGCTGATGAGGTCAAGCGGTAAGTCGTATAAGTCATACTCATACCAAGATAATCGAGCTATACTCTGGTTATAGTGCATGGTTCTATTGCAAAGCCTGTCATGAGGACATCAAAGATGAGACGCTCATTAAGAAGTGCAAATGCAAAAACTGTAAGCATACTTTTTACCATTTTGTTGACACGATAAGACAGTATTTATGTCTATGTATGTCTTTGGGTTTAATTTATTTCTATTTACTTCTTGTATTTCATTTTTTTGTACATTTAATTTTTATCGAGAGTTCCGTGAACAGCTAAAACTAAAGTAAACTTTAAGTGCAGGCAATTAAATAGCTCTAAGTTTTTTTCCTTAGGTTCAGACACTTTAAAGATAAGCAGCGTCTTAGCAGGCGCAGTAAAATAACGCACAATATATATATATTTATATATGCATCTATAAATGCATATATATTTATATGATGATCCAGAATGATTCCTACATATGTAATACTAAATGATATATATATATAACTATTCAAATTTTGTCTTTATCCACAAAAAAACCTAATTTATTAAATAACTTTTGTAACACATTTAAAATATGCTGTGGTGCTTGGGGCCCCTCAACTGTTTCGATAATGACAACCCTAACAACGACATAGATCTTATAACCTAGTTAACAATCATATAAAAATTAAACCAAACAAATTAAGGTTTTTTGACTTCACCTGTGCACATACCTACACAAGTATGTATGATGCATGTGTGCAGATGTATGTCAAATATACATATGACCTGAAGATCAGATATCAAATTAATTGTGATACATAATAATACAAATAAATGTCATAACTTTGTCCCACAGTGACTGTTCAGCCCAGGAGCAAATTTGAAGACTTAGGTAAATCTAAATTGTTCAAAATATTATCCCAAAACACACTAACATAATTTTACAATACAACAACGACCTATATCACAACCATTCACTGAGTTTTAAAGTTGTCCCCCCTATTCCAAATTTGATAAAAGTACGCAAATTATACATTTATTTGTACATTTAATACAACAAATACTATAATAATTCACCTATGTTTGACCGACATTTTTCTATACTCTTTTTAATCCTCAATTAAACTTATACTTATATACTGTGCACTTCACCCGTTTCAGGTACACTACAAATTTTGTATTTTTTTATACATTTTTCCAACAAGTTTTTTATTTGGATAGTTAACTGTGCAATTAGTACTGACTGTGCACGTTAAGATTGTGCAGCCATGATCCGACCCTACCCTAGCAATTAACACACAATTATTTACTAATTACATACATTTAACGAACAACTGTCCCGTCCCGTATCTTTGGATATTGAACAGTTATTTTTGGTCAGTTTTTATTATGATATGTATGCGCCTCTTCTCTTATATAATCCTCCACAATACAAAAAGAATCCAAATACTTACTATGGATACATATCTGTCTATAAACACGAATAATTGCATACTACATACAAGTATAAAAGATTCGGATGGCTTACACAACGTTCTCTTCAACTGTAAATATGTTTGTGCAATATGCAACCCATGTTTTTGGTTTAAATATTTCCAATAAGTACCGCCACAGAATTGCAACCAGTATAACTTTTACATATAATTATTTTGTGATAACATATAATACTTTTTATTGGTAGGACAGTTTTTTTTTTTAATTTTGTAAAAAATTCGCGACTGTGTTCCGTTTTGAAAAGTTAATTCTTTGAGAATCAATTTGATATTGACTCGAATAAAAAACTCATAGAACATATTGCATAATATTAAAAGAATATTTTTTTTTTGCGCATGTAGAGCAAAAACATGCATTTTTCGTTTATTCGAATATTTTGGACGAAAACTTCAAACGCTTTGGTAAAAGATCTACATTAATATCGAGAAATTTTCAATGTACATTTACATATTTTTAATAAGAAATAAAAAGTGCACATTTAACATAAAATACACTTATAAAATTTTTCTCTCCCTACCTCTCTTTAACAACTTTTGCTACCCTTTTTTACTTGTACTTTATATGTGTTGATGGAAAAGAAACCAATTTAAAGAAGTGCATGTAATTAAGCACAAAACTAATTAAAAGTTCTTATTACACTTTCACGATTAAAATCCTTGAAACTCTATTTTTAATAAATATTTTTCAGTCACTTTTGCAGCTCTGATTTTCAAGTCCTTTACTAATCAAACTCAACTTTTCCCAACTTCAATTATATAAATACAGTCCTTTTTACTATGTTGTAGCAATAGGTCATTCAAATGCTGCGTCGTTTTCTGCCATCAGTTGAAGTCTATGTGTATCTTAAGTTTTAAGTTTCTACTTATCGTGGCGTTAATCCCACTAACATAATAATTAACTTTTTATATATAATATAAATGTAAATAAGTACATAAGCGTAGTTGTCCCACCCAACTAAAAAGTGTAAATAATTTAAATGCAGGTTATGCTAATAATTACTGGATACTAAAGCTCCTACAGCATATCCATTAAGCGCGTTCTTCATCATTTTACATAAGTCGTGTAACTAAAATTAACGTTTATGTATTTGATATTTGGTTTCTATGTAGTATACGACTATACACATAAATAACTGCGTATTATGTATGTATCAATAATTTAGCTTCAATGTTCTCAAGTAGTTAGTAAGTTTGCAATGTTTTGCGTTGCCAGAGTCTGGCTTAAAAAATTATTAACTGCGCCAATGCGTTCCCGACGTGGAACTCAATGTATGGTTGTATGTGGATGGGCACAAAAATAGTACAGCAACAATGTTAATATGCCTAGTATTAAGTATGGATCCCATAGATCTGTTTAGTTTGTGTGTACGTTTTATGTGGTCCTGTCACTTGTATAAAAGAATATGAAATCCCTAACCGTCTTACAGATGTGGGCATGATTATGATGCAGACAGGGATGGTCAACCAAGGGATCACATCAGTGATGAATACAATGGAGGGTACGCTTTTAATGTACAAATAAAAAGAAAAACAACAACAACAACAATTCCAATAATTATTTCGAGTTCGGTGCCTATATTTTTATATCATGCCAAGCCAAAATGATTTATTTGTTGCTGCTAAAGTGTTGAACCGCATACCTAACTGTATTTAAAAACACATTCCAAAACATATCTCCAGAATTCTGTCTCTCTCTTGCCAAGAATTCTCCCTTAATTGTTTCTCCAATATTACGTTTTGAATTGTCGATTTGGCTGAATATTGTTTTGGAAAGTGCATATTCGATTCGGACTGCCGAGTGTATATCAGTAACATGTTTGCTGTGAAGCAAACAAATAAACTAAAAACTCTAAATCATCTTTTTAAAACAACATGCTTGCAGATTAAAATAAATATGTTCATAAATGCCAGTATTAATCAGCATAATAAACCCCTTTCAATCGTGTACGTAAATGCCAAATCAATGTATCTCTTACTTGTGCTAAAAGCCCCAGCTGTTAAATGCGAGTTCCCGCATATATGTATCTGCCTCGCCCTGCTTAACTTAAAAGGATTATAATAGTACCAGTAACAGTAAGTGATGAAGGCTAAGATCGAGCATTAGGGAGATGTCTTAGAACAGGTCTACTACTTAACTGCAATTGTTTTACATTTAAGCAGAATACATTACATTCTGTTGCTCTATCTGTCGCTCTATTGTTTCGATCTATCGTATACTCAGTATAAATATTACATTCAATATAGAGTTCAATTAGCTTGCAACGAAAATCATGACTAGCTGATATTCTATACATACTTAAAATCATTTATTACATACCATATATAATACATAATGACAGTTCAAGTATAACGTGTGCCGTGTGACTTAATAATATATTTTTGTAACGAACCTTTTGTTTATTTAGGTAATTATGTTCCATTCATTTCGGTTTATATATTACATTTATAAAGTATATTTATAAATTATGTTATAAATTATATTACTGATTGATGATTTGATCTGAATATGCAAACCAACTATCATTACCTTACCATCATTTACCTATTCATGCATATCCTATACAATTCTGTTTTCATGAAACAAAACAGTGGCCACCTTCCGGAAAGGCGTCCGAGCCGTACAAATGGTTGGGCGTGCAAGTACGTATAAATTTCTGCCTATTCTCTCTCTCTCTCTCTCTCTCTCTCTTTATCTATTCCTATATACATACATATAACTTCTCCATATCTCTACTCTACTGTAACTGTATAAGCATACGAAACAAATTAATTCCAAATAATAAAACATAACGACAAACATAATGCCAAGTTAAAACAAATCACTCAACATACTTGTTACATCTACTAACCAAGTGAAAAGTCCTCTTGTCTCACTAACTTACATTAATTGCTATTGCTAAGCAGTACAGACAGGCATCAAGTCAGCTGAACATTAAGAAATTCCATTGGTTCTAGAGATTAAACTTACATCATTTACTCAATACATTCGGATGTACAAGCCACACAGATTGTTGCACACCACAACAACACCACACACAGTTACACCTAATATAATCGTTTCTTCTCGTTCGTTCTCGTAATTGTGTACTTTTCATAATAAATTTTTGCCTTAACTACTTAGTGTGTGTGCGTGTGTAGTTAAGTCGATAGATAAAATACAAATTCAATATGTTTCTACAAAATACTCAACTGAATATAATTCAAAAGTTGCTATCGTAAACCTTAATCTGACGTATTTTCGTATGTATTCCATACTACAATCTTGTAACCATTAATAAACCATATCTTTAATATATATTCATATATCGTATTTTGTACACATTTTTGTATAGCAGTAAACACGCATCTCTCATTTTATTTATATTTGTGTTTTTTATTTTCGTCGTTCTATTCGTCAACTTCGAAGCTAAATCTAAAATAAGTCGAGACATTTTCGTACATGCTTTTCGTATTTGTGAAAGCAAAGGGTTTAGCTTTGAGCCAACTGAGGTCTCATCTGGATAAATGTAATACAAATAGCATATACACTTAAATCAAGCAAATATTTACCCCATCTTTCATTTCACATATGTACAATACATACAACACTGTAATACAATTTATGTAATAAATAATTCAAAGAAGAAAAAAAAGAAACACAATTTCTGACGCTGGGGTTTGCTCTTTTTTTATATATACAAATATCATACGTCTATATATTCCCCTACTTGTACATGTACTCGTTCGTACCAACTACTTCTACTACTGCTACAATACTCGTACTATGTATTTATATGTCTGTGTGTGTGTGTAGAAGACGATGAATACTCGTTGTCAAGTAAGTCTAATTAACTCAATAATTCAACTCAAATACTCAACTCATATACTCGAACATTGATTTAAAAGCCACATTAGTATTCGTTCTAATTGTTTATTGAGATTCACAATTTAGAATTTACAAATAAAACTTTTTTTTTTAAGTGTGCCAGTGCACGTTCCTTACTTTTTATTTAAATCTTAAGTGTATTCTTTCTTCCTGATTCACCTCAAACTTTTTCGAGTATCGTTTGTGTTATAACTAGTTCTACGGTTTAAGAAATTTCATGAAATATAAAAGCCGCAAAATCATTACTTAAATACATAGTTACTACTGCGATATATAAGTAAGTTCTGAGAAAGTATAGCATTTGTAGAACAACTATTACGCACTTTTGGTCATGATCACCAGCTGCCCTGCCAATCGCCAATGCACCACTTTACCAATTAAGGAGCGAGCTTTTGAGTCTTTTTAAGCTTCATGTCTTAAGCAGTTAAATTGCATACTGTTATATCGAATGTGTTGAACAAAGTGTTAAATTAAATTAGTCCTTTTGAGATAATAGTCAAGTGACTTTTAGGTAGTAAAGACGTGAAAGAGTTCATTAGGTGTGTGTTAGATTTCCATTGAAAAACAGTTGAACTAAATGCTTTTCAAATTTGAGCCACCAACCGATGGAGTAAAAGTTTATGCCATATCCTTGCCAATTATGCTTTCATTGTGGCAACTTAATACTTAAGATCTTACTTCACTTATCCAGTGCTTGTTCTCTTGCTTTTGTAGTTTAGTATTTTATGCTTATGTACCTTACCTATTGCTACCCGTTTTTTACTCTTATAATTATTTGCATGTTTGAAATGGCCTTGATTATTAATGCATATTTAACAAAATGTATAATTGTGTATTGAAGTCCCAAGCCCAATGAAAAGTCCTTAAATCATTCCCCAGATCACATTGATCAATTTTCCTTACTTTTGTATGACCTTCGGTTGAACACATGTTTAAAAATTTCTAGCCCGTCTAATTTGAATATGATTTTAAGATTGTGTTTTTGCTTTATGTACAACCGCAACTTTCACGATTTTAGTTTATACAAACACAATATTCCCCTGATTATCAAAAAAAAAAATTATGTAATAATAATTGGTGTACACACCAGCAAACACAAAATTATGAGCTTCACATAAAAAAGCATTGTCTCTTACACAAAACAAAACGAATTTGATTACCTGAAGCTGTGCGATAACAATACCAAAAATATCTTACAGATGAACACCATCCTGCACCCACATTTACGCCTCCAGAGCTTCCCAAGCGGGTGCATGTGCGTGGATCTGTATCGGGTAATGTCTCAATATCAGCTTGTATAAGACCAGAACCACAACAATGTTACCTATGATTTACGTACATATAAGTCTGTCAATTCTGAACACGAAACGAAAGAGAAAGGTTATTTTGAACACAGAACGCCCGCGACCCTTACAGATATTGTTACATGCAAAGTTACACGAACCTCATTTATTTATTTGTTTGTAAGTCCTAATTTGCCTTATCATTGCCTTATCATGTGTTGCTGACAGTACACCCAATGCCCTATAAATCAATTAAAATATATCATCAAAAAAAAAAAAAAATCAAAAATTCTATGAATAAAAGGAATTGATCAAGTATAATTAGCTAATTGCTTTTCCTTTGTATTGTTTTGCATAATTTTGAACAGAAATTGTTATTTGAAATATATAAAAACGACAAATAATGTTCTAAATAAATGTAAATGTTTATATAACTTTCTAAAAGAACTGCTAAATCTATTTTAACAAAAGCTTGTTCTAAACAGTCATTTAAATTCGATATTGATGTCTACTTATTTAAAGCATTTTCACAATATTTTTGTAAACATTTGTGTGTGTGTTGTGTTTGCATACATATTTGCTTGTTAAATACACTGTTTATTTCTTGAGACCACACACATGTCACAGTTGTAAAACCTAAACTAAGAATAGCAACTGCTTTCAAACAAAACTAACTAGATACTTACTTACACGCGGCTCAAAAATACCTTTCTTTATTAACTTGACCGATGCATATATGACTAAATGAAAATTTGTAATGCACTCTGCCAACAGTATCAGAAAACTTAAATCTTACTAATCGAATGTATCTGCTAAAACTTCCTTTCTCTCTCTCTTTCTCTCTAAATCTGCTGTAACTGCTGTAACTGCTGTCACCTAACAAACTGCCACTGCGAAACGCAACTGCCACAGGTGACATTACACGTGACAGAGAAGATACAAATCGTAAGTTTCAAATACTTACCTCCGCTCTTTCTACAGCCTGCTCCTAGCTAATCAATGGTGAATGACTGCAACTCAACTTCTCTCTGTTTTCCCTGTCTCCATCTTTATTGCAGTTCTCAATCGGAATGTGCGACGCCCGAACGGCACTGGCAACGGTACAGGTGGCATGCATCACATGAACAACACCGCCGCTGCCGCAGCGGCCGCTGCAGCTGCGGGGAAACAGGTGAACAAGGTAAAACCCACGGTGAACGTGAGCCGCCAAGTGGAGGGCCAGGTTATATCGCCATCGCAGTATAACAGGTGAGCGGCCGGAATTAAGGAAACCTTAGCATAATCCGAGCGATACATACATAAATATATGTACTCAACGGGCGGGGGAGCACGGAACCAATTACACTTATACACAAGAGAGGGCACTCGGCTTCAGTTACAAAGTATTTATATGGCAAAGCAAATCGATAATCGAGCAAGATAAAAAGCATACACTTATGGCCTTTGCTGTTCAGCTGCATTCTTTGATTTTTTGTGTTTCCTAGTTTGCGTTACAACAAAACTAAGCGTTATACTACATAATATTTGAGTTTGGTCACTTTTTCATTGTTTTTCTTTTTTATTCTGTACCTAACAAATAACACCCAGTTCGATGGCCTTTAATGGTCATGCCTCGTACATATGTAAATGCTCCTTAAATATTGATTATTCTTAACACTTTAACAAACTGTCTCACATACACGTTAACAATTAACCAAAAAAAAAAAAAAAATAATAATTATAAAAAAATTAAAGAAAAAACAACAACAATTTTTAACAAGTTTATATGTATAAAAAACGAACAACATTTTGTTTCAGGCCACCAGAAAATGATGCTAACCCTTATGCGGGCTATCAACTTGCTTACGAAGTTAAAAAGCTCATGTATGCGTCCATAATTTCCTAGAAATTTTACTTAAATCAAATTATAAGAAGCCAAAAGCGTTTTTAACTACTACTACTACTATAACTTAGTATTCGTAAATACTTATTCAACTATGCGCATTTTGTTAAACACACATTAATTGGTTGATTGAAAGCTATTCCATACATCAATACCAAATACAAATCTTAACTATTCGTATGCGTAATTTTGTCACGTTGCTGTCTGTGTGCGTTTATTTATTAATTCGTGTTTGTGTATGTGTGTGCCTATGCACCAAACGATTCTTACATATGATTAATACATACATATACATATGTAAAATCACATAATAATTTTTCAATATCAGCTGCGCCATCTTGCCTATCAGCATTCAAATCAATCTGTCTTTATTAAAAATATGATCTCAATTTCCTTTTTTATTTTTTAGTCTATGCGTGCCACTTACTATACCTATACCTATACCTATACCTATACCTATACCTATACCTATACCTATACCTATACCTATACCTATACCTATACCTATACCTATACCTATACCTATACCTATACCTATACCTATACCTATACCTATACCTATACCTATACCTATACCTATACCTATACCTATACCTATACCTATACCTATACCTATACCTATACCTATACCTATACCTATACCTATACCTATACCTATACCTATACCTATAACTATACCTATACCTATACCTATACCTATACCTATACCTATACCTATACCTATACCTATACCTATACCTATACCTATACCTATACCTATACCTATACCTATACCTATACCTATACCTACCTATACCTATACCTATACCTATACCTATACCTATACCTATACCTATACCTATACCTATACCTATACCTATACCTATACCTATACCTATACCTATACCTATACCTATACCTATACCTATACCTATACCTATACCTATACCTATACCTATACCTATACCTATACCTATACCTATACCTATACCTATACCTATACCTATACCTATACCTATACCTATACCTATACCTATACCTATACCTATACCTATACCTATACCTATACCTATACCTATACCTATACCTATACCTATACCTATACCTATACCTATACCTATACCTATACCTATACCTATACCTATACCTATACCTATACCTATACCTATACCTATACCTATACCTATACCTATACCTATACCTATACCTATACCTATACCTATACCTATACCTATACCTATACCTATACCTATACCTATACCTATACCTATACCTATACCTATACCTATACCTATACCTATACCTATACCTATACCTATACCTATACCTATACCTATACCTATACCTATACCTATACCTATACCTATACCTATACCTATACCTATACCTATACCTATACCTATACCTATAACTATACCGTATACTTTTACCTATACCTATAACCTATACCTATACCTATACCTATACCTATACCTATACCTATACCTATACCCATACCTATACCTATACCCATACCTATACCTATACCTATACCAATATCTCTATCTATATCTTTATCTATATCTTTAGATCTAACCAATACATTTGTACATTTTGATTCAATGCAATGAAAAACTTGTGTCGTGTAATCGTATTTGTACTTAATTGTATATAACAGTAACTACAACTTTGCTGCATTTCAATTGCTTCTGTCATTTCTTTATAATGTGTGCGTGTGTGTGTGCGTGGGTATGTGTGCGAGAACATCACGATAATAAACTTTTAATTGTAAACCCAGATCGGTTTGCCTGCTAATAATGAATACAAGACGATGTGCTCGCAAAGCAAATGGCAACTCGGGCAATTCTAACAGATCCCATGGGCTCAAGTCAAATCCATCCCATTCTTAATATAAAATTTAAATAGCCAAGCATAAGCGGAATATACCGGAACTGATAGCAATAGAACAATTAAACAATGAATTATAAAAACCATTTTCCCCGGTTATTTTTGTTCTGAAAGGAACTCAAACAGATTATAAAACAATTAGCAGTATCTTACTTCTAACGAAGTTTTGAGCAAAGTCTATTCTTCTAGTGCATATCTTACTTTCTTACAGCTATCATTCAAAGTTCAAAGTTCAAAATTTATTAGGGTCGTGATCTATGTTTACTCTCTCTGCCTTCCACTGGCATCTCTATCCTTTTTGGTATTCACTTCTTTAGCACTTTTGTTTTGATTTTATTCTGACTGCGAACTGTGCACAATGTCATAGTGTTGTGCTGTGCACTCCGGCGTAGGCAGCAGTTGCATGTGGTATGTCCCTTGTGCATGCCCCTCTCTAACCATTTGCTACACTTAATACACCCGAGGGCGGCCGCATGTGACCTTATCTAAGTTAGCCGCCATCGCCGGTTGACTCCGAACATGTTTCGCGTAGTTAAACTTTGATTTTAAAACATATTCTAATGTAATCGTTTTGGCATTTGTGTTTTGATACTCGTAATTTCGCAACTATTGTTATTAGCACAAGCTCTTCCTCTTCTCTCTATCAACATACATACATATATAACTCTATATCTCTAGCTATCTATCGTATCAACGACACTCTTTTTAAATTTTAAAAGCTCCAAGTACTCGTACTCAAGTATTTATATTTTTTGAACGAAACTCGTACTCGTAGCGTTACGAACAACACTTTGCATTTGGATGTAGCGTTTATTTTTATTGGTTCGTAATCAGATATGCCATGAAATTGATAAGAAATTCCCAAAATTTGCGAACGATTTGCCTCAAACGGTTAATAAATCTCAATAATTTGCTTGCCTCCAGGCCAACGAGTCGCAGCTCCGGCACTGGGACACAAAATCAAAATGGTGGCGTCTCTTTGCCAGCCGGCATAGCAGACGATCAGTCGAAGGACTTTGATTTTGAGAAGACGGAGATGAAGTACGACTCAACAGGCATGTTTCACTGGAGTCCGGCGAAGAGCTTAGAAGACTGCATATTGGTAAGCCAGAACTCCGCAAAGATCAACTGCGAAGTTACTATTTAAAATTTTCCTTCGCAGGATCGCAATCAGGCGGCCATGACAGTACTAAATGGCCATGTGGTTGTTTGCCTGTTCGCCGATCCGGACTCACCGCTAATTGGGCTACGGAATCTAGTGATGCCGTTACGCGCATCTAATTTCCATTACCATGAGCTCAAGCATGTGGTAATTGTTGGCTCCGTGGACTATATCCGACGCGAGTGGAAAATGCTACAGAATCTGCCTAAGATTTCGGTGCTTAATGGATCGCCGCTCAGTCGTGCCGATCTGCGGGCGGTTAACGTCAACCTGTGTGATATGTGCTGCATATTGTCTGCAAAAGTTCCTAGTAACGACGATCCCACACTGGCCGACAAGGAGGCCATCCTGGCCTCGCTTAACATTAAGGCCATGACCTTTGACGACACGATTGGCGTGCTTAGCCAACGCGGACCGGAGTTCGACAATCTGAGCGCGACCGCTGGCAGTCCCATTGTGCTGCAGCGGCGCGGCTCAGTGTATGGCGCCAATGTGCCCATGATAACAGGTAAACTGCATCGCACTAAGTTGGCCAAGTTTGCGAACGACCGAACGAAAAGCGTCCTACCTCAAGCGGTGTAAATGGGGCTGACCAAGCAGTGGGCGGGCTTAGAGGGAAGAGGGTCAGGGTTATGCTACGCTCAGCCCCACTACACTGTCTAGCTAATGTGAAAGAGGTGCTGTACTAATGGACACTATGTTTTATTGTTGGTTGTCGTTTAAAGAACTGGTCAATGATAGTAACGTGCAGTTTCTCGATCAAGACGACGATGACGATCCAGACACAGAACTATATCTCACGCAGCCGTTCGCCTGTGGTACTGCGTTCGCTGTGAGTGTGTTAGACTCGCTGATGTCCACGGTAATGCCATGTTCCCAATCCCATTCTTTCCCATCCGACCCATTTAACCACCATACACTCTGTCTCTCTCATTCTCTCTCAATCTGTGTCTTACACGCACCGTAGACATACTTCAATCAAAATGCCTTAACGCTGATCCGATCGCTGATAACAGGCGGCGCCACGCCCGAATTGGAACTAATCTTGGCGGAGGGTGCCGGCCTGCGCGGAGGATACAGTACCGTCGACAGTCTGAGCAACCGAGACAGGTGAGCCTTACGTTTAATTAGGCGCATTCCGGTTAATTAACTGAGATTATGTTTTGCTCGATCAGATGTCGTGTGGGCCAAATCTCATTGTATGATGGACCGTTGGCGCAGTTTGGGGAATGCGGAAAGTATGGGGATTTGTTCGTTGCTGCTCTCAAGTCGTACGGGATGTTGTGCATAGGACTCTATCGGTTTAGGGATACTAGCTCTAGCTGTGATGCGAGCAGCAAACGTTATGTAATAACTAACCCACCCGACGACTTCTCATTACTGCCAACAGATCAGGTAAGAATGGCAAACCCTAAATGTAAGCAAAGCAACGTGCTAACATATGCATTCCGATAGGTATTCGTTTTAATGCAATTCGATCCGGGCCTGGAGTATAAGCCGCCCGCAGTGCGTGCGCCTGCTGGCGGTCGCGGCACCAACACACAAGGGTCCGGAGTCGGTGGGGGCGGCTCCAATAAGGATGATAACTCTTGATTGTTACTGTGTAGCGCCTTAACTGATGGTCCTTATTCGTACATTTGAACGATGGAGAAGTTAATTGTGTACAGAGCATCGCATTTATGGCATAAATATTGGCATAAGATCTGGTTAAAATTGCGCACCAAGAAGTAAATACAAGTATAGGCATTGGCATTAGCTATAGGTATAGGTCTGTAACACCACAGACGCGTACTATATACTATAAAAGTACCTGTATATACTGTGTACCTAGGGAAATGTAACAAAATCAAAAGTTAGGCCAATTGGCGTAAGTAACAATACTTAAAAATTTAAATGCGTACGTGCCCGTAAATGCGTTACTCTGTACTTTTATATTTGTAGAGACACCGTGCAGAGTATTTTGTCCATCCTGTTTAACAATCAAGGATAGCCACACACCACAAACGACCAACGGTGGGCAGTGTTAGATGTCTCTACAAGCATAAAAGCCACATATTCATTAAAGAAAGAACAACTTCTTTGATATCCATCGTTCAATTGTCAGCTGATTGCTTCCCACACCATTCCGTATGCCTTTTAGAACCTTGAAATTAACAATTTACCTATAATTTTGTATCTATCCGAAGTTTTATTACACTTAGTTTTTTAATTACTGTTCAATTCCTCTTGTAATTATTTAAAATTTTAATTATTTATTTTTGTTTTTCATTATTTCACTCTGTTCCAAATAAAAATATTTTTAAAACAATCCGTTTTATAATTTGCTATTTTGATATACTCCTTATCTTGACGCAACAATCATTAGTTATTATACTATGGGTATGTATATTTATTATGAACATTTCCTTCATTCATTTAGTACAATTGTTGCATTATCATTATTGGTATTATTAATTCAAATCTTATTTCATATTATGTTCAAATTATGAGTTCAATTCATGGCGCTATCATCGCATTACAAATATCCAACGATTCGAAAAGAAAATTCATCTCAATGGTGTGACGTAAGCAATTGGGAACCATTAGTGAGGTAAGCTACACATTAAACAAAGAAAAACAAGCGAAAACCCTTTGCTGATATTAGTGAAAATACAATGCAAGCTAACATTATGAAATATGTGCATCTTTTAAATCTGAATAGCATAAGGCTTGCAATTCGAAGTATTTTTTACAAAAACAAGAACAAGGCAAAAAGTATCCATTACAAACACTTTACATACTGTGTATATTTAGATGCAATATTGCAACTGTATTTAAGATACAAATACTTACATACGTATATACAAAAAGTGAAAAGCTAGATATATGTCTTAGCAGCAACTGCAACAACAACAACTATGCTACAGCTAACTTATGAATGTCTACATATGTTGTACAGACACAGAAATTAAAAGGAAACAAACAAAAAAAAAACAACTGTAAAACAAATTCCATAAATGCTTGGCCGCCACTTACATTTTGCGTATGTGGACAATGGGAGATGAGCCTAAACCGAAATCCAAAGTTGTGTCAGCATTCAAGTTCAAAAACTGCATTTAGATGTTTCTGAGCATGCGCAAAAACGATTTATACGAACGTATTATATTAATTTAACTATAATGTTCTCAAAACAAACAAAATTCCTAGCGATATTTAATTGAAACAATTATCGAGTATCTCGACTATCTATGGGAATAATGCAGAAAATAGTAAGAATAGACTAAATTCGAAATTTTATAAAACCAAAAACCAAAACAGAAAAATAGTAAATCAACGGTTGTTCCATCAAAAGATACAAATCGCATAAATAAAGCATCATTTAAGTCATTTTCAAATGACATTACAATCCATTAGATATTTCAGTATATTCGACTTGAGATTGTTATTTATTTGCTCATATCTGTTCGTGTGGTAATTGAAGAAGTGTCATATGTATTATATACGCATACAAACAAATTTTCAATAATATTTCCTAACCAGAACGGTTCAATAAAATCAATTCAAGGCTATTCCACATAAACTCTGCTGTTATCCATGCAAAACACTTCAAGCATAAATATTAAGAGTAAGTAGCGCATTGACATTATTATAAATCAGTAGAAACACGTACATACATAAATACTTGTATTCATCACGGTATGAAAGTAGCTGAAGACATACATATATAGATAGATAGATGTAACTATCTATAGCGAGCAGTTGACAAAATGTAGCTAGTAATATTTTTAGTGTATGCAACGATGTATGCGCTTTTTACGTGCGTGCCTATTGCGATTTACGAGCAGCAGCTGTGGTGTTCTAAACAAATTTTTTTAGATAAAACAAATCGAATGCAGACCGAAAGATGTCCTTTTAGTCCACCGTTTCTCGAGTTGTCTTAAACCCTTCTTTAGACTTTCACGCGCTTGCGCTTGAGCCGCTAATAAAACGCTCCGATTTTTTTGTACATATAATGTAAATAATAAAGCTACCTACTTACAATTATGTAGGTCAGATAATGTAAAAATGTCGTTAGATCACTTCACTTCGGCTATTTGTATTCATGTTTCTGTTCATAGAGTTTTCGGTATATGGATTTGTTCAAATGATAAACACTGCCAAAGCGTATAGAAATCACTCTAAATTAAACCACAAAATGCAGAAGCTTAGTTCAGTTTTGTTTTCGCCATTTTAATATAGACTAAACGAATATTCATCATATAATATTCGTTTAAAACATTTACATTTTGTGAATTAAATTTAGCTTATTAATATAACAGTTAATCGAATTCGAGCTTTTAATAATATGAAACAAAACAAACAAATACCAACTTAAGTCAATTTAAGTTGAAAGAAGGAATATAGTTAAGATTGGTTTTGGTTCATTGCGTTTTGATAAAAAAGAATGTAGCCTTAGGTCTAGACAAAAAATTTAACGAAAATCTAACATTGTGAATATTAAGTATGCGCCTTCAAAGTAACGTTACGTATGTAAAAGTATGCATGTACCTACTTATGTATGTATGTAATGGCTTAAAACCAAAAAGAAAAACATATAGATAACATAACATACACATATATATATGTATATATATATATATAGATACACATATATTTATATATATATATATATATGTATATTAAGTTCAAGTTCATTTATTGTTAGGGCAATTTAATATATAAATGTAATATAGTTGAGATGAAAAAGCATTTGCAATCCTTATAACAGGCATAGAATAAACCCAAAAGTTAAACATAATTTTTAAATGAATAACATAGTTTTACAAATTTTAGAAATATGAATACTCACACACACACCCACACACACACACACGAACATCAAAACACACATACACACTTACACTTTTACACACATACGAACACTCTGAAACGACCACACATCACATCAGCGAACAGCAACAAAACGAACTCTCGATGTTGTGAAACTTGATTGAATCATGTTTACGCTAATAAAAATTCTGAGAAATAAAAATATGCATAACGAGAACTATCCATAAAATAGCTTATTAAATATAAATCGATAAATCTCATAAAAATTGAGCAAAGCGCTGTTCGTCATTTGCTGTGCTCCAATTTCTCAAATTACTTCAATTCACACGAAAGTCTTGTCTTACTATGCTTTTTATTTAACAATTTGAAATCCATAAGCATAATATGGTTCGATTTCGCCAGCAACCCGGCTTTGTAATAATAGTAAATAAATAATGATATATCGCCCAGAAATACTCAATGCCATACATCTAGACACAACTGCAATGTTTTGTAGAAACTTTCGTGAGTAAAATTGTAAAAATATCATACTCGTAAATGTGAAGCATTTACAGTAGTTAGATTCTTTGTATAGGAAACAAAGTTTGCAGCTAAAAACTAAAAACCACAAATGATTATTTTTAAAATTTGAGCAACAAAGAAATGTTATTTTGTAACTAACAAACAAACAAAAACGTTAATTAATTTATAATTGCCGAAGTTGAAAAACAAAACAAAATTATTTCATAATTTCGCAGCACTTTCACTACTCCCATATATGCATACATACACATGCATAGACGTGTGTGTAGATTTGTATATATATATACATATATACTGCATATGCATACAAATTATTTTAGTACTGTGTGCATTAAAATTGTATAAATAATTTAAAGAACAAGTCTAAGCAAACCACATAAATTAGTCAACATAACTGTAATTAATTTTTTTAGTTTTTACCCGCGATTTATAAAATATATTTACAAGTAAAACTCTGATATTTGATCATAAGATTCAAAATAAAGTGCTGATATACAATTTATTTATAATTATAAAATGAATAGATCGAGATCGGAGAAAGTATAATATAAAATTGTTTTGTTTAAAAAAAGCCACAACAATTTCGAGGAAACACGAAATTTTGAATAATAAAATAAACACATTAAACTTCGTATTTTAAACATTTGTCTATGAAACATAATATAATATATAATAAAGAAGATTAAAAAAAAAAACAGATAACTGTAACTAAATAAATGGTATAATAATAATATTATGTTGTTAATGTTTAAAAAAAACCTTGTTAAAATAATATTTCAAAATAAAAAATACGAATACAAAAATTGAAATAATGGCCTGCGCCGGGAGCTTTTTCTTATAAAAAGTGAAATCTTGAGCTAGGGTAGCATGGGTAACGGCTCGAACAGCCCAAAAATTGACCCACATATGGTAGGCCAGCACCAGAAATTCCATCGCCCAATTGCGTTTAGAAATTTGCAGTCACGACTCGCATAAAACGCACCCAATTAACAAGTCCAATTGAAGGCGCGCGTTTCATAAACTTTTTATGTCGCTCCGCAATACTCATTACTGTTGTGTAATCAGCGATATATGTATATGTGATATGTATATATATTAACCATATATACAACATTAACCATGGCAGTTGTTGTACATCAATTACAATTACAATCGCCTGAATAAGCACACATTTTAAGCCAAATTAAGTAAATGAGAAATCTCTAATACGCAGTATTTGCTAAGAAATACCTCGTGCCTACTTCTCGTAAATACTTCAAATCAACACAGATCGATACGAGCAACCGCTTAGGGAAGGCTTCTAAACGATATTTATACATGTTTTATAAATTTATAATTTTATTTATTATATTTAAATATTGACAGACCGGCAGAGAGAGATAGAGAAATGGAAGAAGATCCCGCTCATTATAGGCCCAGGTTTTGATCATTATCAATGATTTATGTTTTATGTTTTTATAAAAACACAAATTTAAAAATAGATTATCAAATTTATTTAATTGTCATTAGTCAAGTGCTCTATCAAGCTTCAAAATATTGTTATAAACATGTCTATAGTTTGAAAGCGGTTTAGCAATTGTTGGACTGTCACCAATACGAGATCGTGCTCAAAAGCATGAAATCATATATATTTATAATCTTATTTCCATTTTGCTGCTACTGTGCACCTGTAAGTATTCAAGAAGTGTAAGAATTAAACTATAAATATTATGTATACCTTGCACAGGTCCACGGGAATTATAAGTTTCAGTGCCTCAGTTGTGCAGTATTGAAGCCAGAATGGGGAGAAGCTAACGAGTGCCGCATCCAGGCTTTCAACCGCACTAGTAATTTAATAAACTTGAGGTTCATATTGAAGAGAACTATAAACGAGGTAGACATCCTCAGCTGGGCTCCTTGACCCTTGAATTCCAGTTATATAGATATTTCTATAATCTTCAATGCAAAGTTCACTTCAAGATGCTCAAACGTGAACGTGGTGGATGGCATCCTTTCCTGTATGCAATGACTGTTGATATATGTGACTTCCATAAACATCGTCGAAGATATATTGTACCAAAAATAATGTATTCATAGCTATAAAGTTAATCATTTAATTCATTCTTTCAAGGCTTACACCAAAATAAATCTATTACGGTGGTCATTGGACGGAGAGAGCATAATTTCGCAAAATTTTGAATTTGGAATTCATACATCCTGGATCTTGAACAACGCAGTTTTTGCACAAATTAATGGTTCTATAATATATCTGCCTTAACGTTATTTATGTTATAACAAGTCTAAAATTTGCATTTCCTTATTAATTTCATAGTGTATAGATAATATAATGGTTTTATTACGAATCGATTATATATTTATTAGGGTCAACATAAGCTTCCGTCATTCTACCCTGAACCCATTCAAAATGTGTAAAAGGGGTATAATGTATTTGTGCAAATGTATGTAACAGGCAGAAAGAATCATATATATATATATTCCTGATCAACATCAACAGCCGAGTCAGTCTAGCCATGTCCGCCTGTCTCTCCTTCTGTCCGCATGTGTGATCGCAAGGATATTAGAACCTATAAAAGCTCGAGAGTTGAAATTTGGAACGTAGGTCCTCCTAGTTCACACGCCGTACGATTTTGTTTCCGTTAATCAATAACTTGCTGCGTTTCCAAGTAATCGATCAAAATTGATATCGATATCGTGTTTTTTGAGCAAATCTCTAAGGTTTTATGACCTAAAGTCACCAAACTTATCATGTAGCTTCTAGAATAGTATATGTATATATATCAAGTATCTTTTATTTTATAACTATCCCCACCACCTCGCTAGCACCACATAGCTATAAATCAAGTAAAAACACTTATTTGTATTGACCACCCATTTAAGCCACAATTTTAATGCAATTGATTGTTTGAGAATACACGACGGCTCTATAGTACAATGAGATCTACTGTTGAAAATTTCATTATGCTCAGTTGAGAAACACAAAAGTTATTAAAGAAAATATGTTGTGGCTGTCTATGTGGTTGGGGCAGCTAGCGCAAATTTCCAGCATTTCTGTAAACATGTACACACACACATTTAATTGCGATTGTATTCCATTCTATGCTGTATGTATGTGTTAATTTTATTCTTTGTTTTTTTTTTTTCATTAAGAGTGAATGGTTTTTTTTTTAAATTTATTTCTATTACTGCTAAAGCAAACGAAGAGGGATCAGGGTATCATCTAGTCGGGAGCTTCGGACTCGAGCCTCTTGTTTTATATTACCCAGCTACAGAGATTCTCATACATAATGGAGATCGATTCGAGCTCACTGTAAGTAGCATATATCTGGCCAGGTAAGGCTGTCATTCAGAAAGTCGCTTTAATGATTCTGTTCTTGTGGCGGTATCAGGCATCAATGCGAAAAGAGCCTATTTTGTGTTCATGCGCGCCTGGTCCGCATTGCTTTTTAAGGTATTGACAAGTTCGTTGCCCAAGTCTTTTGTTTGCCTGGGCTCAGATGGCCAAGAACTGCCAAACACTTTCGTTTAAGCTCTGCGTGTATGTCTTGCAGTGTGAAGACAGTGCACATGTCGGCATTCCATGTTGTTTGTGGTCGCGTGCTGAGTCCGAGCATTGAACAAGTTTTCAGCCCGATGGCCGATGCCATCGCTAGCACAGACGAAGCCGTCGAAAGAAAAGCCGACCACTTTCTTTGTGGTCTCCGCTTCCAGTGAGCGATGATACGTGTGCTTCCAATGGCTGGCAAAAGTAACTATCAAAGTCAGCGACAGTAGCTGCGCTCAGTTGTTAACGCGACCTGAACAGGTGCAGACTTGAAGAGTTGCAGCCCCGGTAATAAATTCGTATTCGCACTATCTCGCCAAAGAAAAGCGCCGAGGCGCACGTGGACATGAAGTTAATTGATGTGATTATTTACTTAATTGCTATTTTGATCTTCATCTACTTGCTGCTGGAATAAAAGCCAGCACGTCTTCAAACAATAGTCACTCAACGCCAAGTCAAACCTTTCCTTCTACACGCTCAAATAGTAATCTCTTCAGCTATACCAACATTTGTCTATCGTTCACTTAATTTGCCACAACATGAAGGTAAGTAAATCCCATGCTTATTTAGTTGGGCTCAATTATCGATAATTGAAAATTAGCCCGCTGGGAATCACAACCTGAAATGCATTAATTGTATGCAAATTGGAAGTTTCTATTGACTCCATGTTGATAATTCATCTTATATTTTTTCTGTCTTTCGCTTAAATCTAAAGACAATGCCGCCATTCAACTGCAACTTCGTCTTCGTTTTTCCTTCAATTGAATTGCAATTGATGGCGCTGTGGCAGCCCATGCTTTGAATACTTGTTAAATTGCGATTGAGGGGCAATTGTGTGCACTTTCATTTGCGGTTCGGTTGCAGTTGCAATGAGAGCACTTGATGCGCCGAGTTTTCGCTTTAAACAACAAACAATGGGCCGCTCGCTTTGTGCACACTGCGCACCAATTACACTGCAGTTGCTTGACAGGCACAGGCACGGGCACGGGCACGGCCACTGCCACGGCTACTGGCATTGACTTTGCCTCAATGTGCAACAAAGTGTGGCGGGAAGACTTGAAAATAAAATGATGCGTTTGCTCGAAAACAGTTGGCTTAGTGCTAAATAAAAGTTGCATTTCAGGTTGGCCAAATGCGTTGTGAATTGGGTTAACTTGTGCTTGTTTATGGTTTCCCCTGATTTGCTACAGTTCGAATTGTGAGCGGGCAGCCATAGTGGAATTTAGTCCAAAACCAATTCCTACTTCAAGTTAGTTGCTGGCGACATTTGTATGTGGCGAATGCATAAAATTATGAAAATACTAATTTTATCGGGACTTTGACTTTCTTTAAACGAGTTGATATTAACTGCTCCCACCGCACAAGTTCATTCACCATCGGCCGCTCCTGGTTGACGTCAACCATTATTATGCATATTTTTACAGGCGACAAAGCAATATCAAATTACTAGCCACTTGATAAACACCAAGCCAGCAATTTGGTCTCAATTACGTTTGTAATTTCGATTAGGCAAACGCAGCACGTAATCAATAACCACAGTGCAGCACAGTGGTCGCATTGTCCGCTGCGACCGGCTACGGTCGGCTGTCAGTTTCACCTGAGCGCGGCGCTTGATTGACTGCCGGACTAACGGCACAACATTGTCATTGCCAGTGTCTCCGGCAGACAAGTGAAATTAGTTGTTGCAACAATTACGACGCCAAATTGTTGACTTCCAGGGGCAGGCATACCAAAAGCAAAGCACGGCACAGCAGAGGCCTCGTCGCGTTCATAACAGAACCAAATCGATTTGGTATTTCACTTTCGTTGGCCCACACGTTTAATTAGACGAGACATCCGCCCGCCTGGTCCGCCTGCAGTTATGGCTACCGTGTCTACACACACACACACACACACACACACACACATATATATGATAGCTTAACCAGCTTTTAGTGGCTAGCCCCAGGCGACGTGATAAAATTTTAGAAAACCGCCAATTTATACAAATTAAGGCCATTATTTTCGGTTCTCCGACCGTCCGTTGATTACATGCTACTGCCCTAACCCCCTCCCAGCCCCCTCTATTCCCCTAACCACATTGTGAGCTTAGCGCTGATAGAGCTTAGAAAGTTTTATTTGTTTATTTGTTGAGTACTTACCCGCAAGATAATTAAATGTTGTTTAATGAATTTTCGTATTACATTTTGACATCTCTACTACTTTAGCCTTTTACGCTACTGTTTACGCTACTGTTGGGCCTGGCCAGCTGTGAGCTGCCTGTTGGAAAGCGTCCGCTGATCTTCAGCAACAACAATTGGCCTCCCAAGAGCGCCAATCAATTAAATCGTCCTGGCGGCGCTGCAGCTGCTTCCACTGGCAAGCAGCGTACACTGGTTGTGCAGATTCGCAGTGATCAGCCAGTTCCATTGGTTTTAAAGGGTCGTCCTGGCGCCCATAGTCACGCTCATCAGCATCTGGCTCCGCACTCACACGCTCACTCCCATTTACACGCGCACGGGCACTCGCACGCCCACGCTCACCTGTTGCATGGAGCGCCACCGCATCATTTACGTGGATCACGCCCGCTTAAGCTAAGCGCTCCAGTGTATCTTAAGCCCTCAGGTAGCTTACGGAAGCCGCTGAAGATCAAGCTAAGTAACTCCAAGCCGCATTCCAAGCCAACTTTCGGATATGAGAAGCCCTTTAAGTATGAGAAACCCACAGCGGTTGCCTACAGCGAGCTGCAGAACTTGCCGGTAAGTACCACAGTAGCGGGCAGGACATGAACACTTATCCTCACATGCCTCACATGCCTCACATGCCTCACATGCCCCACAGCTGGACACGCACAACAATTACAACACCGAGCACTTTGCACCTATTTATACGGTACCCGCCCCCAATCTGGCACTGCATCACGATCACGACAATCAGATAGATGATGGATTAGACACCGAATACTTGCCCCCACAAAACTCGCCCCCACAGAGCACACAACGTCCACAGTCCCCAGCCTATGGGCCGCCCGCAGCTGTGGGCAGCTATTACAGCGTGCATGAGGATGAGACAAATGATCAAACGATTCGCGATCCTATTTCGGGCTCGCAGAAACTCTTTGCCCCAGATCCCGACCCATCGTTGCCCACTAGCAAAGTGAAGGTCGCAACGGAGAGCTACAACACGCCTAGCAACAACCAGCCACTCCCTTCGGATGTGCAAAGCAACCATCTGCCTGCTCAACCGCTAGTTCAGATTGTGGGTGCCCAGGCGGCTGCTCAAACGGTTCCAATATATCCCATACAGTTTTCGCAGCAGGCGACACAGCCCTTCATAGCAGCCGCCTTGCCCGCGGCCCACATACCCATCTACAATCCCACCTATCTGGTCACCCAGTCTAATCAGCTCTACACCCAGCACAAGCAGCAACTTTTTAAGCCCAGCACAGAGCACGTCGTTGAGACCGGATACGTGAACGCTGATCTGACGCAGGAGGTGGCCAGCAATGGCCAAATTCTGCAGGCCGCCAAGGATCCTCAACACAATATACACCCGGTGTTGGATACGGCGCCGCAATATGCAGCACTAATTGCCGCGCCAGCGTTAGGTGAGTCTGCCGAACCCGTCTATGAGACTGCGCCTTTCCACCTGGCCAATGTCGCCGCAGCAGTTAGTTCAACAGCGCCAGAGGGCGGATTTGTGGTATCTAACTACTATGGAAACTCGCACGACTCTTCCCAGCTGCTGCAAGCGTATGCTGAGGAAGAAGCCCGACGGCAGCAGTTGGAAACTGAGCATGCTGCACTTGAGCTGCAAAAACAGCAGCAGCAGCAGCAACAGCAACAGATCCAATTGGAAGAACTGAACGCACAGGCACATGCTCAATTCCAACAACATCAATATCAGCAAGAGCTGCAGCAACAGCAATATCAGCAAGAATTACAGTTGGAAGAGCTAAAGGCACAGGCACAGGCACAACACTTGCAGCATCAACAGCATCAGCAACAACTGCAACTACACCAACTGCAACAGCAACAACTTCAGCAGCACCAACAGCACCAACAGCAACAGCAACAGCAGCAGCAACAGCAACAGTCACAAAATTATCCCCCAGATGCAGCGGCCACTGCCTTCGAGGAACATCAGCGTCTGGTACAGCAGCAGCTTGGCAGTAATACGCCGTTACGTATTTTTGTTCCAGATGAGGAAACGTCCGAAACGGTAGGATTAGATTCATTTGAAGCTTTTAGCCTATATATGTATACATTATTTCTGTACTTACAGCAGCGTCTGCAGAAGCGCTCAGATAATCCAAAAAAAGGCTCCTTTGAAAATGTGCCCGCACTGGACGGTAACAATACGGCAAAGGATTTGTTTCCCGTTTCAACTTCTGTAGAAGTTTCAGGCAGCCAAAATGACGCCAGCAGTAAATAAAAATTTGTTTTTGTTATAACGTAGTCCTTAGCGACATTCGAATATTTATTTTACAGACTCATTTATAAATTTAAACATATAGCAAGTCGATAGTGTAATAAATAAATGTATTAATATTTTAAAATAACGCGCATTTTAATGCATTACTGATGGGTCACACTGTTATATATCGATACTCAGACAATGTGCTCATTTACTTTCGATATTTAATTTTGAACAAGTTGGCAGGCCTGCAGGAAAAATGAAGCTAAGCATAAATGTGTCGACGGAACACGCACGAAGTAATTAAATAATATTAGAACACTATTTAAATTGATTGCAACCGCGATGATTATACCAATTCGGTGTTTTACTTGTGGCAAGGTAATCGGAAACAAGTGGGAATCCTACCTTGGCTTGCTTCAGGCAGAGTACACAGAAGGGTAAGACGCACGGCTATTTTGCCCACATTCCTCCTTTTTTGCCCGATCTATAACAAGCTTCTAACATAAATTCTTTAGTGATGCCCTGGATGCTTTGGGCTTAAAACGCTATTGTTGTCGTCGCATGCTGCTCGGCCATGTGGATCTCATTGAGAAGCTGCTTAATTATGCGCCACTTGAGAAGTAAATGTGTGAGAGTCTACGCATGGGCATCAAAAATAAACTGACTTTGAACTACAAACTTTATATTTATTGTTAAAACAAATTAAAGCTTTATCAAAAAGAAAATCTCCAAGTGGACTACAAATTATCCATGAACCATGGTTGCCCATTGTTCTCGCGGCGCTTCGTGAGGATCTCACAACCATTGTTAGTTACCAGCAGAGTTTGTTCGAACTGGGCTGAGTAAAGGCCATCAGCTGTTACGGCGGTCCAGTCATCAGGCCAAGATTCCGCCTTTTGGACACCCTCGGAAATCATTGGTTCGATTGTAAAGCAGTGCCCAGCGGCCATCACTCCAACGGCAGAATTCTCTGTGGACGGTTCAAAACATCAGTATCTTTAGGAGATTATCTATGCCAATCGACTTACTAGCATAGTGGGGTACATTGGGGGCAGTGTGGAAAACACGGTGAATACCATGACCACAATAGCTGCGGACGACGCTAAAACCATGCGGCGCCACATACTTCTGAATAACGTTACCTATCTCCCGGTACTTAACGCCTGGGCGCACCAATTCGATAGCTTTGCACAATGATTCGTACGTGATGCGTACCAACTTTTTGTGTTTTTCTGATACGTCTCCCACGAAAAATGTTTCGTTGAGATCGCCATGAAAACCGTGGTGATAGACAGTCACATCGATGTTACAGATATCGCCGTTCTCCAATGGACGCTTGTCCGGTATACCGTGGCAAATAACCTCGTTCACGCTCGTACAGCAGGACTTGGGGAAATTGTAGTAGTTGAGGGGTGAAGGGTAGCAGTCGCGCTCTATGGCTGCTTCGTGCACCAACCGATCCAACTCATCAGTTGTAATGCCCACCTCTATGGCTTTGGCGCCTTCATCAAGACACTCCCGTCCTAGGCGTCCAGCTACTCGCATTGCCTCAATTTCATCATCATCGAGTATCTTTATTGTTGTCCCGCGCAAGGATTCTTCCGACAATGAACGTCCCGCTGGGTGATCAGCATAGTCTGGACGCGCAATAGCTTCAGGCACAGCACGTTTGGCAGTCTGCGGAAAGGGGCGCAATTTGCCGGTAAAGCGAAAATGTGGCCAGGGATTGTACACACCCTCGTCTACGGGATGTTTCTCCCCACCGGCTATATGGGAAGAATATCACATTTTTGGGAAATCCTGTTAAATGTATATATACGAATATGTATATTAGGTGGAAACCTACCAGCTAAAGCATGGATCACCTTGTGCTCTTTCCAGAATCCTTTAAAGCAAGCCTGTGAGCAGAAAAATGAACCCTTGATGCCCAACTTAAGGCAAGTGGGGCATTGTAGCGTTGCCTCCTTATTGCAGTTCGTTGTTTCACAACTTTGCGTCATCTCAATGCGTGAAAATTGCTATTAACAACCGTTCCAATTTTAGCACTCTGAAGGCAACTAATTATAGACAACGCCGTTAATACATTTTTATTAAATACATCGATATGATTTTATCGATGTTTAGGGCCGTTATCACAATATGGCTGCAATGACACCAACGGCAATATTAACAGCAAAAACATGGTAAAAACCAAAGGATTGGAATTTGTTAATATTGAAACCTAATCATTTTGTTATAAAAACCCTGAGATTCTTTCATAGGATTATTAAAACTAATAATTACAGAGTTTTGTCAAGATCTTTTGAGTAAAAAAGCAATTTAAAAGCAACTTAAAGTATGTACAACCCTAAATTGATAAAAATCGTGTGCTTAGAGATAATTTTGTTGAGGGTGTATAGTAATCAAATTTATCTAAAATAAATAACTGATATATTAAATGAATTTGAACTTACATCAGTTCAAAGCGGTTGCGACTGTTAAGAAAAAGCAGCTGTTAGCAAGCATCTCAGCGCATGCTCTCTCCCTCTAGCTATCTCTCCCTCTCTCTCTCTCTTTCTCACACACACCAATAATGTCTCTTTCTCTCTCTCTCTCTCTCTGTCTATTAAACACAGCTGTGCCAGTGGCTATGTTTGCTCTGTTTATGTTGGAATCTCTCAAATCAAAGCGCGAGAACCTTTCGTCGTAAACGGACGTGTGCATCTTTGTGGCGGCTAAATAACGCGAACGAAAGAAAAACAGCAACAAACTTGTTTGATCGAGAGCAGAACACAAAATCGAAACGAGCCAAAAAAAGGATTCCTTTGGCACTCAAGTGTATGTTTGTATTCGTGAATAACAATAAGTGCACTTATTTCTAACGCTATAATATTAAAAGGAATGTGCTTATATATAAAGAAAATGTAGCATCTTTTTGGAGTGCAGCTACAGGTGGAACTTGCATCCTGGTTATTTTTTCCGACTATTGCATTAAAATAAAAACAAATTTGGCAAATGGGAAAATAAAAAGCTATATCCTAACTAAAAGCAAAGGTGCTTATTGTACCTATTTAGTTTCTATATTACTTAGTCGTTCGTCTTCAGCTAATCTGTCAGACAGTCAGTCCGTCGGACCGTGAATAGATCAGTTTGTCGCGATCTTTGCACTCGACGTTCGATCGCGTTCTATGCGTTTTCCTTATCAGCAGCTGTCGTAGTTGCCCGACGTTGTTTTTGCATTTATTTCAAGCAGACTGCGACAAACGCGCCGCAGTTGCTATTGCTGTTGCTTATGCTGATGCTGATGCTGCTGCTGCTGCTGCTGTTGCTGTTGCTGGCGCTGCTGATAGAGGCAGAAAAGACGCAACAGCAACAATAGCTATAAATAACAAACGGCACGCGGCTGCCATCCGTGTGCACTGTACGTTGCTTACCCTCCACCGCCTACACCTCATTCATCCCCTCTTGAACTGAAATCAACGGCACCGGCGTTTTACGTTGTGGGTGTTTTGCGTTTTACGCTTTCCACTATTCCACTGACTGAATGATTGTGTCGTTGTCCGTTTTCCGCTTTTCATTTCATCAAAAACAAAAACAATAAATAACAAACAAAATCGAGCGAAACGCGAATTGTCAATTGTCAATGGTCTTCGTTCTAAAGGCCGTCTGTGTAATTAAAATAGAATCTGCTTTCTGACTGTGTGTGTGTGTGTGAATATATGTTGTGGGATATACATATATTTATTAATTCAAATATGCATATGCGTGTGTGTGTGTGTGCGTGTTTGTGTTTATATACTAAGACATTACTTTATTGTTTTGTTCGGGCTACTGCAATACGGAACATCGTCAAAAGTCAAGGTACCGCTGCTGCGGCAAGCAGCGACGCCAGCAGAGGCTGATGGAGAGACAGCAACGATCTTGCCTTGCTGCTGCTTTGAACTCGATCGCAGACACAGATTGAACGAATCAGGATCGCACATTGCTCTTGCTTTTGTTGCTGTTGCTGTTGTTGTCGTTCTTGTTGTTATTGTATTGCTGCGATTGTTGTTGGGCGACTGCTTTTTTTGGCCAACGATCTGCGTCGTTTGCCCAGAGGCTGTGCAAGCCTCACTGAAATTAAAGGTAAGAACACAAAAGGCAAAACTTAAATGCCGACCGAGTTAATTGGACCCGTCTGTGGCTCCTGCTCCAGCCTTTGATGCCCAATGATGTGGCATTAGCAAAATATATAAGTATGTATATTCCCCGCATTTGTTCGCTTTGGGTTTTTTTTGGCTTCACTTTTGCCTGATGCTTTTTGTCAGTTAGATGAAAATTTATGCGTCGCAGCAAGGCATGCCACAAACATGAAATTCGCTGCCGTCGCGCGTCTGCCGCATTTTCCAGCGCCTCAACACTTCCGCTTTGCCAGAAAATCAACTTCCGCTGGCAAACAATTGTCAGCAGGGGGCGGCGTACAATGTCGGGGACGGCGCTGACGACGCTGCTTTTGTAGCAAACGTAGCACAAGAGACGCATATTGATATTGTTGCCAGGTTTCTAACGCTTCAGTGCACTCACACATTCACACACATACACACATACCCACACCCACTGCCGTATAAATTTAAGCTGCTGCAAACGCATTTCACTTTTGCTTCACTGGTCCTGGCTGTTTCGTTGCTTGTCCTTTGGCCCGGCAAACATTTTGTGGCATCTTCGCCTGCTTATTGCCAACCAACGCCATTAAGCGTTTCATGTTACCTCCCTCCGCATTAAAAAATTGCGCGCGTATGCATTACCCAACAATACTTTCCGTTTCTGCGACATTTCATTTCATATTTCTGCCAACTTTGCTTATGAATAGAAAACATTTTGCTTCCTCTCGTTTCTTCTCGTTTAGTGTACCCTTGCAGAGAGTATGTAGAGTATTTAAGCTCTGACACAAACTGTGTACGTTTAAATAGGCATGCTTTTTATGCCAATTCCCTTTTATTAAACACACAGTTTAACTAATGTATATATGAAATCTTAGTTATTGGTTATTGGCATTGTCAAATACTTGGTTGCAAATGGAAAATTTGATTAAGTTAATCAAGGCACAGAAATATGGCACAACTCTCATACATACATATGTGTGTCGTAAAGGGTATTTAATATTTTGGAGAAAGCTCTTTATTCTTTCATTTTTTGTGCTTTGCACGCATTTCTACTTCAGTTGAGGGGCGCGTGCTTGATACATTTTTTTCTGTATTTTTGGGTTTATTTGCTTTACTTGGGGATTTGTCATGTTGAAAATTTCATTTTCAATTTGCTATCGCAGCAAAAGTAAGAAAATTAAAAGCTTATTATGTGCCGCAGGTGCCGAGAGGACCAGCATTCAGATTTGTGTCTACTTTCGGATCTATTGTGGCTTTAATCCACTGTGTCGAATATCTGCGTTGCCTGGGCAGCTCAAAATCTCAGTATCTGCAAAGCATTCAAAGTATCTGTTTGAGTTATTTTATGAATATTTGTATAGGCTCATGAATCTGTGTGGCGTACGAGGCGGATATGGCAAGTGTCGCGTGGGCGTTCTCTCAACGAACAGATGATGGGATATAATGCAGAAAGGGCCATTCAATGTTCTCATACTCATCACGCGACGAGTTATTTTCCTTCGTATTTCACTTCATCTTTTGCAGTACTGCCCCTCGCCCTCTCCTTCACATAAATATTTTGTTATCACCGTTCTTGATGCTGGTATGAAGCAAAGTTAATGATATGCGGCAAGTGGGTGAGCATAGGTGTCTGTCCCTGTGTGTGTGTGTGTTCCCGTCGGTCTAGATACAAGAGCACTTCCACACGTCTGATTGTGGAGAACTGTCCCCGTGACCATGCTCTGCTTAAGGCAAGATTTTTATTTTTCCTGCACCATGTGCAATTAATTAATATCGAAGCATATTTAGTTTCTGGGGTTGGTTTGCTGTATCAAAAGTTTGTGTATCGTTAAATTTAAAATATTCGGTACTCATAAATGGCGAGTCTATCTATTTGATCTTATTTCGAATGATTTATTCAAGTTTCAAATGTACTTTTCATTTATGGTAATCCATTATTATTATAATTATCCATTATAAATATTGAAATCATGCGGGTTAATTAAATTGAATGGAAATAAATGCATTGCCATACTCATTTTTCATGTGAAATTTTAAGTGAAAAACTTGATTTTCGCCTCAAATGTTCTCAGGGTTGACTTAATTCATGCCTTCACTTGCACACATTTGGGGGATTCATGAAAAAATCATTTACATGCCAAAAGTCACGACTCCAATTTCTGCGCAACTTTTCTGCTGTTTCTTTTGCCATCTTTTGGGGCTCATACAAATTTGTATAGCATTCAGAGGACCGAGGACCGCCTGGCAGTCGGTTTTATTTGCCAAATTAAAAGGATTTCATTTGCTTTTCATATTTGTATTGGTTTTTATCGCCGCTGCCAGGCTACCGGCCTTGGCCCGACGTCGATTACCCACACAATCACCATAAAAAGGAATCTCGGCACCATATTTTCTTTCCTCGCACTTGCCGTTGGTTTCCTTTTACTGGCATAGTCGTTGGCAATTGTTATTTATGACCAAAAGAAAAAATCAGGCAACAGCAGCCGCAGCATAAACTGACGAGCACAAGCCCGAGGGTTCCAGCTCCAGCCCAGTGGAGCTTATTCCAGGTCCGATCATCATTTCTGTTGTTAGTATTAATTATTTCTTAGTCTTGTGCTGTCTCGGATGCAAGGCGAATGTATAGTTCATAAACAGCTGGCTGACCATTGGTCATGTTCTGTGTGGCACCTTAACACATCTTTATTTTTAATTTTTTTTATTTACACTGCGGCTCTGGGAAAGCCCCATTCTCAGTTATAAGATACGGCGACGGTAACAGCAACGACATCGGCAGCCTATCTGTCTGCGGTGTATTTTACGGTTGAACTTTATTTACATTCACATGGCTCCAACTGAACCGCAGCGACTAGGGCCAGAAAGGTGCCCAAGCCCGTCCAGGCGCATTTCGGCTACAGTTGCAACCACCTGGTCGGCGGCGCTAGCTGAGAGGCCACAGGTGCTAGCAGGCCAAGCTTAATTATTTGCCGTTGGCTGTGGCTCCGGCTGTGGCCTTTGCTCCTTTTCAGTGTGCGCCCGTTTGCTTGTCTATCTGTGCGGTTGTTGGCCCGTTTGTTTGCGTGCTTGTTTGGCAGTCCCGTTACATTTTGCGCTTGCATAGCATTTAAGTCTCATAAAAGTCGGCCCGGTTGTTCGCCCGTGAAAAGGAATAAGCTCCCTTCATTATGCCCTTGCGTTGGTAATTGAAATTTATTTCTTGGAGAGCTTGCTGACAATTTCCAGTTCTGTCCATTTGGTCTGTTTATCCAATATGCGCCTGTTGATATGCAATACTTTTTATCAGTCGTGCAGCTAAAATTAACGAACAAAGAATAAAGTGAGCCGAGACTTAAATATATTAATGAAAAAGCCTTTAAAATATTTTTATTTTTATTTTAAATCTGCAAATGCATGAATGCAATTTACAAGCGTGATCGCAACCCAAAGCCTACTTCGTTAATATAATATTTATATATCTATATATAAAACAGCTTGACTGACTGACCGATTGGGGATCAACGTACAGCCCAAACCGTCAGAGCTAGTAGTTACCTTATGTGATGAAGGTGCATGCTAAGAAGGGTTTAGGCAATCGCGAAAAATTGTAGTATGCTAATTTTTTGCTTACCATCAGTCTAAACTCATTTTCAACGATCTTTGTTCAAATTCCTTTGAGGGGTGTTACACTTTTCCAAAATGCATTCCGCCTTGGTGGAAATGGCGGTCAACGATTTGGTGGGTGATATTTCGCGCTCAAATTTGTTTTCATTGATCTATATAAAAAGTGTTTCACATTTTTCCCAAAATCAAAGCTGTCTCGGTGAAAAATGCGGGTCTTTTTGGACGCAGCTTTAAGTTTTTTCCGATCAACCTCAAACTTACATTCAAAGCCCTACAAAAGAACTTATTGATTACGTGTTTCGGCGATTTTAGAAATTCAATTCGAGACTGATGAATTGCCAATAAAATAAATTTTAGATTCTTCAAATCGGATTTGCCTTTTACCTGCCCGTTGGAATATGCAATTAACAGTAACAGCCTAACTATACGCCATTTAAGGTTTGGACCAATCAGTCCCTTAAACGAGAGAGAGAGAGAGAGAAAGTGTCCCACCAAGTCCTGACTTCTAATACTTATTTGTAAAGGTGTTTATTTTGAAAATACAAGGTATTGCAACATTCTGACAGTTGTGAATTAGAAAAGTGAGCTAGAAAATAATAAAAAACAACACTTTTTTTGAATGGGGTAAACAAGAACAGAACACACGAGCCTCAGTGTGAATGTTATTATTGTTATTATGGTGAATCAATTAAAAATTATTTTAGTAAACAAGTTAATACCAATACTAATCATTGATAAAATGTATTGCAAATGTATTGCATTAATATATATAGCCATATCCTCAGAAACCCAAGACAAACTACAACATTTTTTGAGGAATCATGCAATTGGGGCGAACCTCGAAAGATGCCCTCAGTTCAGTCGTTAATTTTCTGCTTCCGACTCTTGACAAGGGTATAAAATTCATATCCGCCGCCAAATATGTACTTAGTTGCAACTTTAAATGTCAACTGTCAGTGCGACAGGGCAAATCAAAATAAAGCAAAAATGAGCGCGAGGCCATTTAGAGAAGTTTGGGAGAAAGGACTCATGTCAAGATATCTGCTTGTAAAACACTAAAAGTGACTGAGACGAGGCGAGCCAAGGCGGGACGTCGCAAGAAGAGATAAGGCAACTGAGATGCCATTCTACTGACTACAACTCCAGCCTAGACCGTTTGTAATATCCCCGTCCACTTTGCGCTTGTCATTGTCAGCTCGGGTAGTTTGAAAGTGGCGCACACTTGACAAGCCTGATTGATGGCCTGACTGACTGTGAGTGAGCAGCAGGATGGCTGAAGCTGTGTGTCTAAGGACCTTATCTTACGTAATTAAACTAAATATTCCATTCGCCCAACATAATCTTTAAATATCGTTAGCAAAATATACGAATCAAACACACACAAAAAATTCATCAAAGAACATTGCAACCTCTGCACTTCTCTTAATACATTGCGCAGCCGTGCAATGAAATTTTAATTTGTTTACGTTTGCGATGCGCTGCCCAAAAATGACCTAGACCCAGAACTTTCTGCGCTGTCCACTGATAAGTGCTGAAGTCCATGTGGGTGCTTCTCAGCTAGCGATAAACAAGCGAACGGAGACCAAAGGCGGTAACAGTGCAAAGTACTGAGCGCTGTCATTGCCCAAGACTTAATTCCTTTGCAAGAGCATATGAACGCGACAGTTAAACGAAAAATTAACTCTCTGTTAGCTCAGAATTAATCAATTGAATTTATAATTTGCATAAATGAGCAGCCGGCGCCACAATGCTCCCCGATTAAGGCACCCGTTGTTGCCTCTGTAAGAGCCAGTGCCATGCGGCGTATACGCAATTATGCTACTGAGTATCCTGAAAACGGGGTCTGCTGTTGCCGCCCCTGCCTGTACATTTGCCTGCTGCACACGCACGAAACGAAATGAAATGAAATTAAGAAAATATGTTGCACTCTTTGTTTACCACACAGATGTAGTTGCTGAGCTGAGTCTGCTGTTGTTGTTATAGCCACTTTTGCCAAGGGTTGCTGCTGAAAGTGTCTTTGGCTTTATTTGCTAGTTGCTTGCTGGCTAAGTCTTTGGCAGCCAGCGCGTTCAGCTTACCGACTCCCTTCGCAGAAGCCAACTTAATTTGCCATAAAAATCCAGACAGGGACTTGATTTGCTTTGTTGAATAACTGTTGTTGTAATTGTTGGTAGTGCGCGCCGGAAATTAAATGATTTAACGAAATTGCCAACATTTCCTGGGGTCTGGTAACAATAAAAGGGCGATAATAGCCGGGCGAACATTTAAGTTAATTGAAAAGGTTTTTTTTTATTGTATATTCAATTGGCAACCAAAGTTTGTATAGCTCTTAGGCAAGAGGACGGCCCGGGGTGCCTTAAGCGATTTTTAATTACCTGTCATTGTACATAGTTGTCCAAAGGCGTCTGGGCAGCGTGTGTCCTTGCTGAGACACCTTTAACTCAAGTTAATTGAGTGCACAACTGATGACAGCCGGCGGTCGCATCTCGTTTATGAGCTGTTGCAGGTCATTGTATGGATGTCTGTCTGTCTGCCTGCTGTCCTGCCTCTGATACGACAATCCTCTTTTATGCCCCTTTCAAGCAACCTCACACACAATGTGCTATGCCAGCTACTGAGGAGCATTCCAAGTAAATGTGCACAACTTCTGTGCTTCAAGATGTGCACAGCTGTGCACAACATAACCCTACACGCATACGCACACCCACACACAAGCACCCATATGTAAATTAGACGCCGGGTGTGCATGGATTGCTTCCAGCTGTTCGGTTGCTGTTGCTCTACATGTTTTGCTGTTGCTTCAGCTTATTATGGTCGGATTGAACAGAATTTGTACAGATAATTTTGCCTGGAGGCATCTACTGTAAGTCTTAAAGTCTTGCGTAGCATTTGTAAATAATCTATCCGAGCAAATGAAGCCAGTGCAGTTATCTAAAATGTGTCGTAAACCTAACGATTGGCAAATTCTAACTTAATGCTTAGTCTATAGCTATTCTGTTTACTTTCTTTGATTTATAGATAGATTTAAAGACTTGAGTTTATTTCCATAGAACATTTATACAAAGACATTCAAGAGCTGATTAATAAGCATAAACAAAATTGTTCTACAAATATTTCATACAAGGGGTTGGGGTTATCAACAGAATATATTAACCTATACATGTATGTATATGTTTATGTATTTATGTACTATGGCTGTGTGTATACGGACACACAGATCAATTGACTGATCGGCCTCGACAATTCATTTCTATTCAAATGAGAACCAAAACGAGCCAGTTTGAGGCAATTCAACAATTATTTCATCTCAATTTTCCGTGATCATTGCAGGCCACGTGCAGCGCGAGAATGCAGCGCACTTGAACTGGGAACGGACGGAGGCGATAAACAAAACGCAAAGCAAAAACAAAGGCAAACAACACTGTTCGCAGCGTCACGACAATTGACAAGCGAAAGAACGTGCGGAGCAGCAGTAAAAACCACGCTCAGATGGCGCTGCAGAGCCGGCTTGGAGCCGGACGCGGCGGCCGGGTAATGAGCTATACCAACTACGCCCTGCTGGTTGCCACCGCGCTGCTGGTGTTAATCTCGGTACATGTCAAAAGCGCCAAACTGCATGGGGATCCACTGGTGGCGCCCACTTCAATGGATAACGTTGCCATTGTTGAGAAGCATGAGCGCGACAACAACAAATACGTCAAAGAGTACGTGAAAGAGTCAGCTGCCACTCATCCTTATCACCAGCATGGCTACGGGCAGCACAAGTCGCACCTGCATCACCTTAATCATCTACCACTGCAGAACAATCTTCGGGCCTATCATAGCAAATACAGCATTGAGCAGCTGCTGCACATGCAAGTGGCACCCAAGGTGTCCAATGACATCGACATGGACCCCTGCAAGGCGGGTGAGTAGTACATTAAACTTGGTTCGCTGTGCTGTCAAATATGCTGTCATAAGACCCTCACATCTTATGTGGTCTCGCATTTGCGCTGCCTAAGCGCAAAATCGAATTAGTTAGCGCTAAGTCAATCCATAAGTCAACTATTTGCGTTATAAGCATTTGTCATATACGTGTGTATATTGTGTTTGCCTGTGTGGCCAAAAGCAACGCTTTGCAAATTCTATTGGCTTTGCAATGTCTTAAGTTTGAGTAAAAGTGAAAAGTCTTGTAAACTTATCTCATACACACGCAATGTTCTTGATATGCGCTGGCTTTTCCAAGCGTGCTCGCCAAAGCTCACCCACACTGTGCACGCCCAAGACACCACTGGCACCGTTAGATGCAGCGTTGAAAATTAAGCTCCATTGTAGCATCAGATCAACTTGCCTGGCTGCTCAACTGAATTGAATTTACCTCGGTTTTCAGAATCAAATTGAATGCCTCCAGAACGAGCATATCAATGCCTGTATCTGTGTGCGGAATAACTTCGATGAAGACGACCAAGGCGACGGCGACGAGGATTGCAATTTGTCTGCCGGCAACTGGGATGTAATGTGGCCCCAGCCAAGTTTGTCTATGGGCGGTTGTGCGAGCGAGTCTGACTTATAAGTATTTGCGCACATCAATTGTCAAAAAGTTGGCTCCATGGAATACATGAGCAAACCATTTCCCGCCTTCGCTGCCATTGGCAATGTAGTGTCAAGTAGTCCAACGAGTTGACAATGTGCATCACAATGGAAGCAATACAAAAACGGGAATAAATTCAATAGCATACATATCAATTTTTTAAGTTTTGAAAATATTATACCCACATTTAAAATATTGATGTTCAGTGTATATGTAATCTAGCCTCAGACTTTTGCAATATTATCATACAATTCTTACAATCCTTTCATTGATCCTGGAACGAAAAAAAGCTTTCAGCTTTCGTCAGCTTCAGTTGGGCAGAAACTTGCTCGATTAGATGTTGATAAGTAATTCTGCCCCATTTGATATAAAGCTCGACTAAAGAATTGTTTAAAGTAGATGCAATTTCTATTTGCAGTGATCAAAATAGAAATAGTTAAGGCCGCTCCCTCTAATTGTGAGTTGTGAATCGTTTATGTATCCAAGTAAACTCCCAATTTATAAATTTCTGTGTTTCACTGTACCCCCTGACTGTCTGTTTCTACTTACAGGGCCATCCGAAGGTTGGCTGAAGTCGGTTTGATTTACAAGGCAGTCACACTCACTCACATACATGTATCCGAACGCTTCAGGGCGAATCTTTCTCTTTGTTTAGGGCATGGTTTTACATGCTCCCAGAAAAACAGGCCGCTATTAATCAAGGGTGCACAGGGATTTTCACGCGCTCGATTTTGTCATTCTCACAATTAATGAATTCTTTGCATTCTGTTGCTCACAAATTGGGTCACAGCCGATTTAGAATACATACACAACCTACCATACGCACACACATACATAAACACATAAACTGGCACACATGCAAGTACAGCAAACTGAAAGAGAGCCTAATGTATGCAAATGCACGCAACAACAATGGGGGAGGAAAACACAAACAAATTTTTCTTGGTTTTCTCTACGCAACACAAAGTTAACTAATTGAATTTTGAAGTAAGCTGGAATTGAACGTCCACTGTAGCATTAGTATGAGCAGAGTTGAGCAACAGCAACAACGACGACAGAAATTGTTAAAGCTGGAACAACAACAAAACTTAACAAACATTACATTAACTGTAGCTCAATTCGAAACTCGACAATAAATTTATCGTTGCTTTTGCAGGTTTGGGTTAGCATTTAGATTTTCAGCTAGCTAACTACACTACCTTAATATTAACGAGCTGAATATGAAACACTAGACATTAGTCTAGTCTAACTTAATCTGAAAGGACATAAAAAGATTCTATATTGAAAATTAATTGACACTCGATTCAGATATAACATTTATAGTACAGGACTCAACATCGTCCTTCAGACGCCGTCCAGTCTATTCAAAACTGGGCAAAACAAAACATTTAAGTGGTTTAAGTGGGTATGCACGATGTCTGGCCCGCAATGCATGCAAATTTGATCAAAGTGATGATGAAAGTGATGATGGCTCAGAAGCAACGCTAAAAGACCAGTTGGAGAAACGCGCTGCTGTGTGCGCGTGGCTGTCGGTCTTTTCGGTCGCCGAGCTGCAACTCGAAATCAAACCGCAAATGACACTACAAATGTGAAAAGGGCGCGGAAACGCGAGACAGCAAGCCTGTAGATAACTAGGCAAAGTTGCCGACAGTAATGATGACAACAACGGTCTAGGCACAGCAACAGCAACAACAACAAAACAAACTAGACGAAACCGCAACCAGAGCTACCAAAACGTCAGGCTGTGCGGGTTGCACTAGCCTGAAAGCATAAACAACCTACCCAGGGCCAAAGCGACTGCAAATAATTTGGACCACCCTGCCCCCTTCACCCTACACACGCACACATACCCGGACAAATGTGTAGGAGCTTGAAACATGGCCTATAAACGAGTGAGCGGAACGCTAAACCGCGCCAAACTAACGCCATTCTTCACTGTCGTTGGCTTTTTCAGCCATGGAAATAAAAAGCCACTTAGCAGACATTCCATGCATCGTCCAGACAAACACACCACTCATGAATGTGAGAGAAGAGGCAGCTAGGATGGTGGGCGGGGCAAGTAACCTGGAGAAGTTACAGACATCACAACTATTTACGGTTCGCACTTTTAGCGGCATAGCGCACAGAGCTGCCACTTTATATTTCTGTGGTTACGGACGTAGATGGATTTGGCTAAGCCGACGTGACGGGACGTTGAGGGTTTGGCCAACGCACAGACAGTGGGATTTCCCAACTGACAATAAATTAGCCACAGAACAATCGAATTGCACAATTTACTATGTACCCTTAGATGTGTCAAGATTTCTGATTTCATTTAAAAAATAACTCATTCTTAGAGGAATGTTAAGATTTAATATATTATTATTATTATTATGCTGTCAACCATTTACACAAAACTAAATACATACACTTGCCAGGGATTCGAACCCGGATCCTCGTTGCCCACTAAGGCTGAAGACAGCGGGTAAAATATTAATTGCTTTCAGACTATTGTCAGTCAACCGTTCGAGAAATAACTAACTTTTCATTACAAATCCTTTGATGGAGGCTAAGCATGGACAAGTAGACAAGTAAACAAGTAAAAATACTTCAGACGAAAGGGGTAGTCTTGAAGCTGCTCTCTACCTATCCTTATCCTCTTTACTTGCAATACAATATACAAAATACAACTGCAAGTGAATTCAATGTATAAATATATGTTAACATTTTCTGCTATTTTGTGTTGTATAAGCAGATTATTTTTTTTGAATCCGCAAAAAAATATATTTTCTTTCATTTCTCCCATTTCCTCTAACCCGTATTTATCATCCAAAAGGGACGGAAGTGTAAAGCTCATAACAAATAAATTTTCACAAAGATCTTTGAAAACTCTTCGAAGCCGAGAGGATGGTTCATTAAGTTCGTCTTAGCGTGCACCTCTATCACATACGATAACCCAGTCAGTTACTCAGTCAGTCAGCGCAATCAGTATATAAAGATATATTTAACTCATTTGTTATTACTGGGAGTCGGAAGTCGAGAGTCGGAAGTGTTATACATATATCGGAAACACAAATTGTAAGAACGACACTCGCACCAATAGGCGCGCAGTTCTTTTAAGGGTTTTCCATTTTACTTTAACTTTCTACTGATTTTAGGCTTGGCTTGGCTTGCAGGCTTCAGAACTTCGCTCCAGGCTGCAGACAGATACAAATGCGGTTTACTAATTCCAATGTTGTCACTTTGAAATTTGTGACGGTGTCAACGATAACTTGAAATGCACATGCCTTGTATTGCATGTCCAATGTCCTGGGCCTTTGCTTGTTTGTGTATGTATATGCACTTATATATATATATATATGTATGAAAATGTGTATGATTTTGTATTTATTTAAAATCCACTTTGACTCATAGTTGGCAAACGCCCACTCACGGCGTGACAAACATGCAGCAACATGTGTAAATAAAATAAACTTAATTTAAACTGTTTGCATAATTAATTAATGCCAAAATGGCAGCTGCACACTTATTGCACATGTGTGTGTGTGTTTGTTTTAGTGCGGGTGTGCGTTTGTTGTACGCCTGGGGGCGTGGCTTACGCACAATTACAGAGCGCTCACACACAGGCATAAAGTAAGCCGACGGATAGCTAGATAGACAAACAATTGCAACAGTTGTACGGTACGAAGGACTTTTCAAAGGATTTAGTCCTTGTCATGCAGGGGTGTGTGTGTGTTTGTGTGCGTGCAGCTTAACCAGCATGTTGCTTTCAAATTTAGCATGCATCGTACATGTATATGTAAGTATATAGCAGGCCAATAGACAGACATACGAGCAGATGAGTGCTCATAGAGCTGCATATTATTTTTTGCTGCATACTTCGAGGCGCTGACCTCTTACATACAAACATCTTATATAGTACTTACAAATATGTATACTTATATAATTTATTCAGCTTCATGTTAAAGTTTCAATTGTGTAAGTATACTTGAAATCATTGTTGATGCAAATTTAGCAAACTAAATAAGCAAACTGCAAGTTTGGCTTTTTCTTCATGGTTTTCCCTCTAGATTAATCTGGCATTCAAATCTGAACACCGATTTTTTAGTCGAAATTCATGTCCAAATCTTACTTACCACCCCCATAACTCGGTCAAATCTCATCCGATTTCCACGAAGTTTGGCTTTTTCTTCATGGTTTTCCCTCTAGATTAATCTGGCATTCAAATCTCGACACCGATTTTTTAGTCGAAATTCATGTCCAAATCTTACCCCAAGATTCGTATATAGACATGGGCCAAAATTACCACCCCCATATCTCGGTCAAATTTTATCCGATTTTCACGAAGTTTGGATTTT